ATATATATATATATAAATATATATATATATATATATATATATATATATATCTATATATATATATATATATATATATATATATATATATATATATATATATATATATATATATATATATATATATATATATATATATATATATATATATATATATATATATATATATATATATATATATATATATATATATATATATATATATATATATATATATATATATATATATATATATATATATTAGAGTTGCACGATTCTGGCTAAAATGAGAATCGCGATTTTTTTTTGCTTAAAATAAAGATCACGATTTTCTTACGCTTCTGTAGATGTAAAAAAAGGTATGGTAAAAACAAACATATGGCACAACTTCAATAATAATATTATGTGTAGGTCTACTGGTTTCTATAAAAATTCTATTCTATATTAATCTATTCTTTTAATAATTCTGATGTTGATTTATTATGTTTGAGATATATGCTTGCAATCTGTCATATTAGACAATTTAATTCACTGATAAAAGACATTTGCCATTATCAGATTATATTCAACAATATATAGACTAGAGTTATACTGACATTGTAAACATTTATTTTCATGCACAACTGTGGGTTTGCTATGACAGAAAAAACATCAAATGCTTGTCGCAATCATAACTCTAAAATGCGATATGATCATTTAAATGAAGTGTACACTTTTGGTTTCATTTTGACTGCTGTGCTTGTTCATACTTCACGTTCGTCTCCCAAACGATCACTCTGTGCCACAAACTGAATATTATTTACAACAGTATTACCTGTTACTCGCAACATGTGCAGGTTCTGTTCACTAAATTAGGCTACTTAATTAAACTACTTAATGATATATATATATATATATATATATATATATATTTATTTATATAGGACAGGCTAATGGCCGCCGATGTGCTGCATCTCACAAATTATAAATATTTAAAAATAACCACTAATCTTATAAACTAAATAGTTGCAATCTAAACAGCTACATTCTCACCTAAAAAACCTCAAAGTTGACTATCATGTAACAGCAGCAAAATTTGTCAAACTGTAGAGTGTCCTCTGCTTGTTGCTGTATGTGGGCGGAGTAATACACAAGGGGGAGAAGGCTGAATGAGTGCTAATAGGCTCGTTTGAGGTGCGCCTCGCCTTGACTGCATTGTAAACGAGAGCAGGCGTGTGCAGTAAGAGGAGGGCTCAAAAATTACATCAGAAGTCGGACACCTGCTGAATCTCGCTGTTTAGCCACCTGGAAACGTCACCAGTGGCGGAGATCTCGTTCGCGTTTTTTAATCGCAGACGAATGACCTCATGAAAATATACTATGGTGATTTATAGTAAATATTATAGCCTTTTTGAACATGTTTATTCAGTATTGGGTTATGTTTATAGTTGTTGTGATACTAGAACTATAAAATTTAAATAGGCAATTTTATAACATGGTTCAAAAGCACTACAGTATACATTACTATAATATTTTTTAATGTGGGAGTGGATGCAATAGAAATATCACTGTTTTTACAGAGATGGTCAGAATTACAGAAGATGAACAGCTCATTAACTAAAAGCGTTAAAAGAATAACAAAATAAACAGCTTATACAGCAAGAAAGATTTCAAGAAACCTAATTTGGCTACATTATAAATGAAGTAGCCATAGCAAGATGCTTTTGAGTGACAAGTCATGACAAATGTTTGTTTGACAAATAAATTCTTAGGGGGTTAATTATATTGACAAGCTTATTAGGTCTATATAAACTGCTTTTACTCCAGCCAGACTAAAATAAATAGCCCAAGACTTTCTCCAGAATAAAAACTATTAGACTGTAGGAAAAACTGTGGAAATGTTCTTGGTCTATTAAACATGACTTTTGACTCCACATACATATACATATGTGTGTGTGTGTGTGTGCGTGTGTGTGTGTGTGTCTAGTTTACTGCACCCTTTTCACTTCTCATATGAAACCACACAAAGATGAGGCATAATGACAAAACAGTCTGATTACCTTTGTATGTCTGAATATATGTATATATTGGATTGACTTTAATGGAATAATGCTGCATAAAAATTACATTACGAAATTCACACAAACATACAAAAAGTGAAAATGACAACAAACAGGACTTAAAACTGAGAGAGAAGTAAAATACAGCACACACACATCCTAATGATTTATTAGTAACATTTAGTTATATTGGATAGGTCACGTTATGTTTTACAAAGTTGTGTTTTGTTTTTGTTTGCGTGTAAATCTAAATAAATAACCATATGTAATGCTCTTTATGACTTTTTTTTAATTATCAACGAAAATACAAAAAAGGTATTCAACAAATCCAGATATAAACCTTAGTAAAACAAGATAATAAATTGTAATCAGTCAGTCTCATCCAATCAGCATTAAGCTGTGTCGTCAGCCAGTCGTTTCCCATCATGCTTTTGGTAACGCAGTCTTTTGATAGCAACTGCGGCCGACTGCTCTATCCGAATTACCCGCCTCGCGATCGCGAGAGTTTTTTGGCGCACGTCAGCGTGACATCAGAGCGAGGTGAAGGCAAGGCGGACACATTTCTAACCGGCATGCATCTTGCGGTGATCACCGGTGATCGATTCTGCGCAGATTTTGGCCAAGTCAAACGAGCCTATTATTTGCAGAATACCGCATGACTATCAGCCAATCAGATTCAAGAACCAGACAGAACTGTTGTATAAATACATATTTTAACTCGTCTATAGTTTTTTTTAGACAAAACCAGCTACGCATGCGGCATGACATCACTTTGTTGCATTTTCCTGGTTAAATGCTGGCAAAGTAGAACACGGAAGCAGCTTGAAGCAGAAAACGCGAGTATGTCTGCAATCTGGAGGCGTTTTAAAGTTGATGAAGACAACATAGTAAACCCCATAGTAAACTGTGAGATATGTAAACCTGGAATTGCCTGCAGGGTATTTTAAGTTGAGTTGGTGTTTGTTTTATATTAGATTTTTTTTTTATATTTACTGTCGCACTAAAGTCCAAATGTGAATGTGATGATATTTATTACTTGAATGTTCTGTTTGTTGAATGTTGAAATAAGGTGAATTAAATAAAAAAATACCACACTAAGGTGAGTTTAGAGTTTTATATTCTTGTGTGACTGCTGAAAAAAAAAAAAAAAATAACACCTAATGTTGCAAGAGATGTAGCTATATTTAAAGTGCATGGTGTTTCTAAAATGCATTAGAATATGCTATTTCCCTTTTAACACTCTCAAAGAGCGCGCTTTTCACACACACACACACACACACACACACACACACACACACACACACACACACACACACACACACACACACACACACACACACACACACACACACACACACACACACACACACACACACACACACACACACACACACACACACACACACACACACACACACACACAAGCGCAATTACCCACAGGTAAAGCATATAGTAAATGAAGGACATAAAAGGACATTCTTGTTGATTTTTTCTGTCAAAATGATGATGAAACATTTTGAATCATCAGTCAGTAAAATATATACACTCACCGGCCACTTCATTAGGTACACCTGTCCGACTGCCAGTTAATGCAAATTTCTAATCAGCCAATCACATGGCAGCAACTCAATGCATTTAGGGCATGTAAACATGGTCAAGATGATCTGCTGCAGTTCAAACCGAGCATCAGAATAGGAAAGAAAGGTGATTTGAGTGACTTTGAACATGGCATGGATATTAGTGCCAGATGGGCCGATCTCAGAAACTGCTTAACCACCAAAATATTGAGCAAAATCTCTGAGGAAAATTTCCAGTACATTGTTCAATCTATGTCACAAAGGATTAGGGCAGTTCTGAAGGCAAAAGCGGGTGCAACCTGGTACTAGTTAGGTGTACTTAATAAAGTGGCCGGTGAGTGCAGGCCTAGGATGTTTAATGCAACTCCATAGGCCAACCCCTTTCCAAAAATAAATAAAGAAAATAAATGCTTAATAAAGAAATTGAGCAATGAGGACAACAACCTACTTTTTACACCATAGCCATGCAAGCCAGATTTAAAAACAGCCTTTTTCAATGTGCAATATTTATCAAATGTGCATATAGGCGTATTCATAAGTTTAATAGCTGAATTAATCATTCAATGTGGGTGTTTTGTTTCGTTGTTGGTACATTCGTCATTTTCATAGGCCTACATAAGCCGATATTTATCTATATATTAGTCGGGAATTTTTGTGGAATTAAAATAAAATTAATTACTGTGTCACTTGTTTTGTTCTGGAGCCGGGTCCGGTTACAATTAGTTACGACTGTCCCCTGTTTATGAAGAGTTTCAATATACAAATAATTATGTAAAGCTTGCTAGACGTCACCTTCACCAGCTGGTCAAACTAGTCTTACAGTAGGGAAGTCATTGTCAAAAGGCATCAGACAAACCATGGTGACATTACACCGGGATGCTCTAGATTTTTTACATCGAGGTAAGTGATTTTACTTATTTTTCTGATGATTTATTTTGGAAACAGCATGAAAATGATAAACTGCAAAAATAAATGATGATAATAATGCATCTACTTGCTTAAACTTGCTCACTGTAAAGATAAAAATATAGACATGTTTTTTTAATGATTTTTATCTTTAAATATTTTATGACTTAAAATTTTAAATTAAAAAAAGATGAATAAACAAATTAATGAAAAAAAAAAAGTTTATAAGTTTGATACTTATATTTCTATAAATGGTTAAAATCACGACTTTAGCCACTTATTTTTAAATAGAAACAAGTCTAATATATTTAATCCACATTCAACAATGACATAAGCCTATGTAAATACAAACTACCACTGCAGGAAATAAAGAAACAAAAAGCCTATACTTAACATGCTGTAATGCTAAAGCTCATACTCCACAGGTCAAATATTTTAAACTATTATTTTAGCACAACGGTTTTTGAGAATAAAAATCAGCGTCTTGCCAAGTACTGAATGTATGAAGAAGGGATTTGTCTTTAAATGACAAAAATACAAGAATAACATCTGAGGATAAAGTTAAAAACTGAGGAAGTTAAGAAATAAGCAGCAGAAAAAATATAACTATTAAACCCTAATAAAATGTAGGAAGAACAAAAATATATAAGATTATCATTAGTTCAGAAAGCCTGCATAAATGTAAAAAAGCCTTAAAGAAAGAATAAATGATCTGTTAATGTAGCTGCTATTCATTTAAAAACCAGACTGAACATTTGAAAAAATGGGTAAATAAGATACTAAAACACTCAATGAGAATGACAGGTGTGTAATGTATAACACTTTAAACCATACAATTATATTAAAAGGACTAAGATAGTCCGATATATTTCATAAAGCAGATTTGACTAGGATCAAGCCGGACTTTTTCAACCTTCCATGTCACAGGCGAATAAGGAAGTAAAGACCTCATTATTTAATATAACAACACAAACCCAAAACCCATACACTTATTTACTCTATAAATATACTTAATACACTACGATAGCATAATGATTATACTTGCAATGGCCACACTAATGAGTAATGAATGTATCAACTAACATGAGCTAAGAATGAACAATACTTGTACAGCATTTATTTTTCATAGTTCAACATTTAATAAAAAATTTAAAGTTATGCTTGTTAACATTAATAACTGTGTTTTAATGATGTACAACTTAACAGTGAACTGCATTTTAATATACTAACATTTACAAATTAGAATAAATACTGAAATAATGACATTGTTTGCTGATAAATACATTAACTAATGGCACCTTATTGTAAAGTGTTACTCTTATAATATATACAACAACCCCAAGTCAGAAAAAAAGATGGGATATCCACATTGGATCAGGAGTACTTTGGCAAACCTTTGTTTACCACATATAAATACCACAATACATAGTTACATCCCCAAATGCCAGTTAAAACTGTACTATGCCAAAAGGAAGCCATATGTTAACAGTGTCAAGAAGTGCAGTCAACTTCTCTGGGCTTAGAGGCATCTGGGATGAACCATCACACAGTAGAAACGTGTACTGGGGTGAGATAAATCAGTATTTTAGGGTTTTTTTGTTTTTGGGACACATAAACAACACGACCAAGGATAAAAGGATTACCCAGACTTTTCAGGAATAAGTCTAGAAGCCACGTTTAGTCATGGTATGGGGTTGTGTCAGTGTTCTTGGTAACTTGCACTTCTGTGATGGCACAATTAATGCTAAAAAGTACAGAGATTATGGAGCACAATATGCAGCCTTCTAATCCAGTGACGCCCATGCAGATGTCAACAAGACAATGCAAAACCACATTCTGCGCACACATTACAAAGTTCTAGCTGCAGAGAATACAGGTACTTCACTGGCCTGTCTGCAGTCCTGACCTGTCTCCAATACAGTATAAAATGTGTGGCGCATTTTGAAGTGCTAAATGCGACAGGGGAGACTTTATACTGAGACATAGCTTAAGACTTGTTTGCAGGAAGAATGGGACCAAATTACACCACTAACAACTTCATCACTTGGTGTCTTCAGTCCCTAAACTTATTTTAAGTGTTGTGAAAAGGAACGGCAACATTACAACCTGGTAAATGCTTTAGGGTTCCAACTTTTTTGAAAAGTGTTGCAAAAACTAAAACTGGAATACATAATTAATATATTTTTTTGCTGCATTATCTGGAATGAAATTAAAATGACTTCATTCTTTCTTTTATTTGTGTTTTCCATACTGTCCCAACTTTTTCTGATTTGGGGTTGTATATAGTGGGGGGAGGTATTGAACACGTCACCATTTTTCTGAGAAAGTATATTTCTAAAGGTGCTGTTGACTTAAATTGAATTAATAGCTGCTTCAGTCCAACATCTACATTAGCAGGATGATGAAGTTGAAACCAGGGTGGACATTTCAGCAAGACAATGATCCAAACCACAGCCAAGGAAACTCTTAAATGCCTTCAGAGAATCAAGCTGTAGAATGGCCCAGCCAATCACCTAACTTAAATCCAATAGAAAATACTAAAAGATTTGATAGAGGAGAACCATCAAGATTTTTACACTCAGTTGAAGTCTGTGAAAAACTCACACCTGAGCAATGCATGTGACTTCATTTTCCATATGAGAGGCGTCTTTAAGCGGACATCACCAAAAAGCCTTGTATTAAATAGTATTAAATACATTTCAAATACAGTAGTTCAGGACTTTTTTTTTGGTGTCATTCCATTGATATTAAACAACACTGTTTTCCGATTTATTTGTTTTGTTTTATTTTTTTGTTTGTATTGTTTGGGTTTTGACCCAAATCTGGTTTTGAGGTGTTTTCCCACTCAAATTTTGACAATTTTACTAATCTGATCGTATTTTATTCTCTCTCTTCTTCCTTGCACAGTGATGAATAAAATAACAGTGATGGATAAGCTCACACCTCCGTCAAAATCCACTCAGAAACTAATCCTTGTCACATTCATGTTGATATCTTTTGTATGTATATTCTATGTCTACTACAATCCAAACACAACCTTTTTCAAATACCCTACTGTGGGCATCCACGCAAACAGCAGCTGCTCAGAAACTTGCCTCCATGTTCTGAAAATGCAGAACTATGAATGTATTATGAAAAACGCCTCAGACAATCCATTGACAACACCAGCGCCAAATCCTGCTAAAGAGGATCAAGACATCATCGTGTTGATCTGGATGGCTCCTTTTGGAGTACGTTTTGATTTGAAAGATTGTGGCTCAGAGTACAACATCCATGGCTGTCAATTAACATACGACAGAAGTATGATCCAGCAAGCGCATGGAGTTATGTTTCACCACAGAGATATGAGCGCGGATTTTCCGCAACCCCCTCGACCAGCTTTCCAAAAGTGGATATGGTGGAATATGGAGTCTCCGAGTCATTGCAATCAAAATGACTTCCTAAATGATCGGTTTAACGTGACGTCAAGTTACAACAGGAATTCAGATATTCCAGTGCCTTACGGTCGACTCGTCGATGCCACAGATGAACAGAAAAACTTCACCATCCCCAAAAAGGATAAACTAGTTTGCTGGATAGTAAGTAACTTCCAAGAACACCACAAGCGCACACATTTCTACTACGAGTTTGCGAAACACATTAATGTGGAAACCTATGGAGGGCACTTTAACAATCGAATTAATAGTGAAGATTATGGAAATGTGGTGTCCAGTTGTAAATTCTACCTGTCCTTTGAGAACTCCATTCACAGAGACTATTTCACTGAGAAGCTGTTCAATCCTTTAGCGCTCGGAACAGTTCCAGTCGTAATTGGCCCGCCCAGATATAACTACGAAGAGTTCATACCAAGAGACGCCTTCATCCATGTGGATGATTTCCCATCTCCCAAGGAACTGGCGGATCACCTTATATCCTTGGACCAAAACGAGGAACAGTACAAACAGTTTTTCAACTGGAGGAAACTTTATGTTTCAAAGAGTACATCGTTTGGGCTTGAACATTCCTGTAAGATCTGTGATTATCTTAAAAGGAATAAGCACTATATAGCCGTTACGGATCTCAAAGGGTGGTTCTGGGGTTAATGGGATTGTGAATATTCAGTCATTAATTATTTACCCTCATGTCATACCAAACCCCTGAGACCCTCCTTCATCTTCATAAAACAAATGAAGATTTTTTAGATGAAATCCTGGAGCTCTCTGACTGTCGAAATGAAAAGAACCAAAAATAGTCAAAACATTCCATGTGACTACTTTTATAAATCTACAAGAATGCACCAAAATTAATTGATATAAAGACTTTTTTCACCAATGTTTCTGTTCAGCGTACTCTCATGAACATACGTCCTGAAATACGCAGAAGAAACTTTAACAACCTAAATTCAGCACATATAAGAATTCTCGTACATAAACGTACAATTGAACCACTGATGTCAAATGGAATGTTTCTGGTAACTTTCTGACTACGAAAGTTTCAGGACCCTTGTTGTCTATGGAAAGTCAGAGAGCTTCAGGATTTCATCTAAAATATCTTCATTTGTGTTCTGAAGATAAACAAAGCTCTCAGGGGGGGTTGAACACTATGAGGGGAATTATTAAAGACAGAATTTCATTTGGGGGTTTAAAGTTTGAAAGCATCATAGGTTTTAAGAATACTGATCAGCTTTATTGCCAAGTGCTGCGAGTTTACACAAACGAGGTATTTGTCTTGATGTATTAGCACTTAATGATCATAAACGCACAAATTAACATAATAATAATGCCAAATTAGGAAAAAATAAAATTGTAGGAAAATGCACAAATAGACCTTTCGGAACTGACACAAATTATAATCCTACTCATTCCAAAAGCAAGAATCTTTCAACAAAAATATACGAAGCGGTCAAGAATTGTGTCTGACCCACTTTATTCCTTCCGACGTATGTAAGTAATGCTGAAAGGACAAAAATATCCAAGTTGAACTAATATTCTTAAGGCGACAATAAATCAGTAATAATATACTTGGCAAACTTTTTATTTTTTTTTAAATCGTCAATTTTTAGTTCAACTATTCAGTTTTGACTGGACTGCTAAAAATAAATCAAGCCAATACATGTATACATATATTTATACAACAGTTCTGTCTGGTTCTCGAATCTGATTGGCTGATAGCCTTGTGATATCCTGCAATATCAGAACTCCTACAGCCTCCTCACTCTTCTGTATTACTCCGCCCACATAGAGTGACAGCAGATCAATAAACTCACTACAGTTTGACAAATATTGCAGCTGTTGGACAACAAAATGTACTTTTGAGGCTTTTTTTAGTCACCAATGTAGCCGTTTAGATTGAAACTATGCAGTTTATTTATAAGGATAATGCCTATTTTAAATATTTACAATTTCTAAGATACAGCGTGTCGGCATCCACAGCCTGTCATACAGAGCAAAAACAGTTGACGTTGTCCATTCACAAGATGGTGCAGAAAGTGTATAATAAGCCCTTATTGGAGAAAAGATCTGCATACTTTCAAACTACAGCTTATCAAAACATTATAACATTGGTGAGTGACTTTCTAAGTCGAACTCTCTTTATGGTATGTTGCAGTGCTGTATTTATACCATAATAATTGTAGTGTACTGAGTGTGAGATGGGACTCGCATTGGGCACTCTTTGTATAACCAAGAGTTATTTTTTGCTGGCCATCTGGTTGTTTATAATGTGTCTCCTGTTTTCGTTACTGCCGACTACTTCAGCAAACAGAAGAAAGAAGAAATGCCCGCATGTGTTTAGCATTTTTCTATAAAGCAAACACAATAGTAATCTGCAAGTGATTGCACTGCTTTGGCTTTTTCGGGGTTAATTATTGTGATCTCCCAATTGCAATAAAAAAACACTAGAAAATGTCTGTAGACTGATGGCATTTCATGCCATTCAGCCTTATAACCTAAAATGTGAGCAAAATCACCTGTTTTGTCATCATTACGCTAGAAAATCATTCAAACACTAACTCTGAAGTGACGTTGGTGAACTTATAACGGCTTATGTTCTGACGTCAGCTGCAGATGTGAATGAATGGCTGAAAAAAGTAGTTCCTCTAACAAAAGGGTTTTTGAGACTCTCCGTATTTGATTTTTTCCCCGTTTATGCCGTTAAACTGTTGTATATGTGTACCACTAGTGGTACGCAGGCTTCTTTATAGTTGTACGTGGAGGAATGAAATGTCAAGTACATGCAACATTTTCAAAATTTATTAAAAATCATGTATATAATATGCCATATATAACATATAGCCTATATTTCTGAGGTAATCTGCCACGTTTGCTTTGACTGTACAGAGTTGTAGCTGCTTTACTGGGCCTACTACGCTTATGTATTATATTTATATGATTTATTTTTAAGTTGCAAAGGGTATTTTGTAGGGTCGGCAAGGGATTGGGGATGGGAAGTAAAAGGAAATTTAAGTCAAAATATTATTTATTAATGCCAGTAATTTGATTTATTGTAATTTTGGTGCTGAACTCATCTGAAAAGCACCCAATTAAATAACATTTAAAATGAAGGTCTACTAAATCATGTCATATTTTATTCTCAATTTTTCGATTTTTCTCCATTGTCTGTGTCAGGATGCCTATATATTGCCAATTGTGGTGTTCAATCTCTTTTGCTAAAATGTTTTTTACTACAGAAATGCAATTAAAACACTGGTATTTTGACAATGATATGGTGACACAAAAATGTTTAAGTTGCATTGATCATGGGTTTGTATGTGAGTGAACGAGTGTGTATGGATGTTTCCCAGTGATGGGTTGCAGCTGGAAGAGCATCCGCTGCGTAAAACATACGCTTGATAACTTGGCGGTTCATTCCACTGTGGTGACCCCTGATTAATAAAGGGACTAAGCTGAAGAGAAAATGATTGAATGAATCTTTTATTATAATTGTCGTTTTGATTAAGGCTATATCTTCTTGTTTGGAACAAAAAGAGAATTTAAATTAATTGACTTTCTTCAACAAGACAAATATGCTTTGGTTATATAAAATTGTTCTCATGGAGATAAGAAATATTGTATTATTACTTATTTTTCATTAGGTCAAGTGTTAAGATTTAGGTGTGAACCATGACCCCAACGTTTTTTTAATTGGATGAATGAACGCTTTTTCAGTGTAACAAACATGTCGTGACTTACTGACTGTACAATACAAAACATTCTCAGATACAAATCATAACAGATTTTAAGCTTCACCCCTCTGATAAACAAAGGGACAAAGATAAATCTTTTGTACCATCTACTACAACCTGACTTACAGCCAAAACAGCATAGTTTAGCTGGAAGGTTTGTGGTTTAACCTTTTTTTTTTAAGCATTAAGTAACCTGCCATCAGATTTGACTTAACCAGACAATGTTTCACGACCTAGAGTCTATAATTTAAGAAATAACCAGTAGAACAAGTTACATTATGTGGCATAACAAAGGCTTCATGAATCTATTATGCGACTGTTCTCTTTATTTAAATGCATGTGGTCATAGTTTCACATCAAAGTGAACAAAGTTTACGACATTATAAAAACTAAAATATACAGCAATATCTGACTTCATAACAAAATACACACAATAATGGTTGTACAAGTAAGAAATTTTCTGTTCTCACCTTTAAAACTCTATCATATCTCTAATGAGGTTATGTTAGGACAGTTATTGGTTTGAAGTATTCGTCAGTTCATTGCTCAGTAGATCAACTCTTAATTACACCAAAAATACTTGTCAGTAAATAAAATCTCTCAATAATAAAACATATATAAAGAGTTCAGATGTAAAAACCTCTAAATGCCATTTAAAATTCCTTTAAAAACTGTTAGTTAAATGATTTCACTTTACAGACGATGAAAATGCCCTATTTACAGACATAAAAGTGAAATTGCTGAACCAACCCACGAGAGCCTGACAAAAATGCTCCTTTTAGAAGAAGTTTAGAGGTTTTTGCATCTGAACTCTTCATATTATTCATACCCCTAGCAAATTCTTAGTCTTTTATTCAAGTAGCAAGCTTGTGTTTTGTTTTTTGACCTTAAATGACACAGCTTTAACTGAGAAGATTATAAGATAAATGTACAAGAGGCATCATTGTGGAAAAATATTTGAACACTTGTAAATGATTTTATCTGGCCGCAGATATTTTTTTTAATACAAGACAACACATGATGTTATCATCTCTGTCAATGCCTGTGCAAGACTGTATGGTATAGTTTATGCCACATGCACTTTACAGTTTTATATTGGTAGGTGAAATGTTCGTTAAAATATCTGAACACTTGTAAATGATTTTATCTGGCTGCAGCCTGCAGATAGTGGTTGCTGTACAAAAACATCACTGTGTTATTTGTGCTGCACGAATAAATAGGCAAACATTAACATAGCATATTTTATGATTATAGATTCTGAGAATCTAAGAATTTCATATGTTTATTAGCTTGGCTGAAAATATCTGCATCAATAAGTTAGTTATTAGCTGCTGCAGGTGGAAAGTATTAGTTCACTCCCAGAATTATAATTTGCTCACTCTCTTGTAATCAAAGATATACTACCGGTGAAAAGTTTGGGGTCAGTAGGATTTTTAAAAGGTCATGAAACCCCCCTGTTTCAGCAGTTTTTTTTTTTAAAACCTTTACTTTGGAAAAAAAAAATGTCTGTTTAGGGGGGAGTGTCGGAGAAAGGAAAGACTCCGTAAAAATTTGCATAAAAATGGGAGTGTCGGTTTGGGCACCCGCTGATTTTCACAGAGGCAAAACATACACACAGGTGCAGGGGAGAAAAACAGTGACTGTGTTTACATGGATATCAGTAGTCGAATTATTTGCCAAATTATTAAATGGTGGACTTTAACTGCAGTTTGGCTCTTTAATTCAGTAATTTCATTCATGCCCCTTGTGACAAATGAGATATTTGATTCGAGGAACTGCTGTAAACGTGTTTTATTAATACAATGTTTGATACCGCACGGTGAATGAGAAAAAAAAAAACCTTTGCATTTCTCTGTAACTTAGAAGCACTCGGTCGGTAGCGTCAGAAAGTGTTATTCCTGTCACAAAATGCTCCGAAAATCCTACACGATGGAAATTGTTTGATTGTGGTGTTTACATGTGTACACTCGAAGAGCAGCATTTACAGCAGATTTTTCAGTCCATAATATTGTAGTGATAATAACGTACGGTAAACTTTATTATAAAGTTTTTTTAAATGGATATTTTTATTTAAAATAAGCTTCTCCTGCTCAAGGCTGCATTTATTTCAGCAAAAATACAGTAAAACTTAAATGTAAAAGGGTAAAATGTTATTGCACTATGAAAGAAACTGTTCAAAAGTAGTTTATAATTTAATTTCAAAATTTAATCCAGTGATTTTAAAGATGAATTTTCAGCTTCATTTCTCTAGTCTTCAGAGTCACATGATCCTTCAGAAATCACTCTAATATTTATTATTATTATAATTTTTTTAATTAATTATTAATTAAAGTTATTGCACTATAAAATAACTGTTCAAAATAGTTTATAATAATTTGATTGAATAATTTACTCCAGTGATTTTAATATATATATAATAGATATATATAAATATAATATTATATAATAAAAAAAGCATAGATAAATAAAAGCAAAAAGAAAATTTTATTATTCAGGTACCGATATTGAATATTCAACACTGCACAGTTTTTATTGTATATTAGGTAATCATTATTAAACGGTACAAAAAGCATTTCTTGTTTTTAACTCTAAATGTTTAAATGTTCACACAGTCATAGGCCTTTAGGGACAGTTCACCCAAATATTAACATTTGCTCTTTATTTACTCACCCTCCACTAGTTCAATAGTATACGAGTGATTTAATTATCTTCTTTATGTGTTCAACTAAAAAAAGAACTCATGAGTGTTTAAAACAAGTGAAGGGTGTAATGAAAATAGTAATTTTTCATCTCTTTAAAAACGCATGCAGATGAAGAACTTTTACTCCCTTGTGGTTAAACTCTGCATTGAATATAATCAATCCCATATCAACATTACAGATCCTGCGATGTGACTATTGCGGATGGACACATTGGGATATCGTTACTGAAACGACATCTTGTGCAGCGCCCTAATTGTAAACCTTTATTTCATATTACTATAGTTGTTATAAGCCCATAACCACAGCAGCAATATAATTAGCCAACTACAAAAGATTAATTCAACTATTTACTACTTTTTCACTTGTGTTTAAATATCAAAACTCTGTTCAAAGTTCTCTGTTGTTTTAGACCGCACTCTAGCGGTCACACTGCCAAATTACATGGTATTAATTCACTTCAAGTCACTAGTTGAATAATTAAAAAAAAAAAGAAATCAGGTTTTATTGTACATTCTTCAACATACAGCGCAACACTACAACAACACATATAGAAAATACTATATAATACTCACGCTATGAGCTCTTGTCAGCACGTTGGTTAGACACAGTTGGATTACCTTACCTGCACAAAGAAAGAACGAAGCATTTCTGGGTCGGGGATTTCGTCGTCCTGAATAAAACTGTTGAGTCGGGTCTAAACTCATCCTCTGTTCTCTTTTTGCACGTGTAGTCTGCTTTGTTTACAGTTTCTTTGCTTTTCAACTGGTGATTCAGGCCTTCGTTTTACATAACAGTCGATATATTTTGCTAATAATTTTAAAACTTTTTGCTACTCTTACATCGCACAGGTGTCTTAATTCTCTCTGATTAGGATATGAGGAGATACGCGCGCGCTCATGACGTAAGCACTAAATAAACCGCGTAATCTGACTGGTCTGATTTTAGGTTGAGGTAAACAATCACTGGAAAATGGTTTAGGTAGGCTGTATACAGATAGAATTCTCCATTTCCAGGTTTCTTAGTTGCAAAAGTCGTCATAGTTGGTGAACTATGAATGGGAAGGCACAACAAATACTCGTATACAATCCCAAATAATAAAATAAAAAAAACTCTACGATGGTTGTTATCTTGACTTTCAGAAAAAGGAAAAAAAATGTGTGAGACTGATAATGCAACAAGAGAAGAGAATAGCATTAAATTCACTGTCCTGCCCACATAGACGCTGCATTAGAAGTGCCTCGCACAAGCAGTAATTAGTTTTTTGTAGCTTGACGCAAAGATGATATAATATAAACATAAATGCATATAAATGTTCATGTTTTTTTTAAAAATTTAAAGATTAAATACTTAATAGGATTTAAGATGCTGTTGACCATCGAAAGCGTCATCACAGGCTTGTGAAATAGATTTATTATTTGCATCCTACAAGCAGAAACAATTACAATTGCTTGAAATCATTCTTAAAATTATATCTACATTGAAAAAGCAATAAAAGTCTTAATGACAGAAATCTGACTAAAGAGTAGCTGTTCCCAAATGCATCATATTTCCAAAAAAAAACCATTTATTTACTTCAACAGACAGTGTTCCTTTACCATTTCGCCCTAGAGTCACGGGTCGCCTGATGTGTGCTAAATCTGCGCAGATACAAAAAAACGTAACCTCCAAACAGAGAAAAAATAAATTTTGAAACAACCTGCCAAACAGGCTAATGTTTTGACTTAAGCACGCATTTAAGCCTGGTTTTTACTTCTGCATCGAGTGATCGGCGTGACCCACTGCGCATGCAACGTGCTTAGCTGTGCATTTACACTTCTGCGTGCTGTTTCTGTTGTGCTGCATTAACACTTCCGAAACGCTAGTTGGCACTGAGGTACTTAAGTTCCTCTGTGTCGAGTTTCTTCGCTGGTGTTTTGTTTTTTCTGAACGCTTCCTTAATGTACAAGTGGCTCAGACTTGCTTATTTTGAGACGTGTACAACTTTAACCATGAGGTAAACACAAAACAAAACTCCATCCAGAGCTCCTTCACAGGACTCCACACTTGTAAACAATCGCTTCATCGGGCTCGGTCCCACCCACACTCGTCAGCGCTACCAAGCTAACCAATCACAGTGCTTGCGTTACGCGTCGTTGCAGCGTGTAGTTACATTTTTAGATAGGTGCACGTCAGTGACGCCGACGACCACAGCGTAGGGCTATGCGTCAACGAGTAGGCTACACCATAGCATACGCGTTCTCTTGACGCAGAAGTATAAATCAGCCTTAAGTGGTGAGCTACATGACTTAATAGTGACATTCATTCATTTTCTTGTCGGCTTAATCCCTTTATTAATTCGGGGTCGCCATAGCGGATTGAACCGCCAACTTTTCCAGCACGTTTTTACGCAGCGGATGCCCTTCCAGCCGCAACCCTTCTCTGGGAAATATCCACACACGTACTTATTCACACTCATACACTACGGACAATTTAACCCACCCAATTGACCTGTACAGCATGTCTTTGGACTGTGGGGGAAACCGGAGCAGCCGGAGGAAATCCAAGCGTACACAGGAAGAACATGCAAACTCCACACAGAAAAGCCAACTGACCCAGCCGAGGCTCGAACCAGCGACCTTCTTGATGTGAGGCGACATCACTACCTACTGCATCACCTTAATGGTGTCATGTAAAAAAAGGATAACGAGCAATCCTGCACACGATTAATACTTACTTGCTGAAACACCTGAAACACTTTATCACCTGGTGTCTACAGTCCCTGAACATCTATATGCACAATATTTAAATATTGTGAAAAGGAATGGCAACATTACAAAGTGGTAAACGCATTACGGTTGAAATGAGCAAGCAATTCTCTACACAATTAATACTTGCTTACTTGCTGAATAAGTCATTGAATTGAACTTTTCAGTCCCACGACCTCCATTAGACACATGTTTTTCATGTCAAAATGAAGTAGGCTAAATTAAAACGATAAACCAGCATGCTTTTTATTAATAAAATGGCCTAGTTGGACTGTTACTCGGTAAGCATCATGTGGCTTATAGCCTTTAAAGATGCAGTAAGGCGAGTTTCCAGTTTTATATTACCGTGATAGCGCCACACACACACACACACACACACACACACACACACACACACACACACACACAAACACAGAGAGAGAGAGAGAGAGAGAAAGAGATATAACTAACATGTACTACCATGTACTTTTAGAGGTTTAAAGGACCTAAACTATCTGTCTTTTCTGTCAAAATGTTAAAACAGTTTGAATCATAAGTCAGTAAATTATATGTTTAATGCTACCCTATACCCCTTTTTTTAAAAATAAATAAAGAAATAACAGGCTAATAAAGAAATTAAGTAACAAGGACCAAGCAAATCTATGTTTATACCAGCCATGAAAGTGAGATTTCCAAAATTTCAATGTGCAATATTTTTCAAATGTGCATATATGCCTATAAGTTTTTGATAATAATTGATTATTTAGAGGTTTAGTGGTCTATTTTTGTTTGCATAGTTGTGTAGTCATTGTCATGCCTACATAAACTGAAATGTATCCATCCATCAGGAATTATTGTGCGGTAAAAAATTAAATGCTGCAGTGCAGCCGTCACTTCTTCTGGAGCCGGGCCCGATTACAATTAGTTATTAACTGTACCCTGTTGCTGTATAACCAGTGTAAATGTCTAAAGGATTAGGCCAAGTAAAAAATATGCAAGACGCCACCTTGACTAGCTGGTCAAACTAGTCTAACAGCAGGGAAGTGGCTGTCAGAAGGCACCGGACAAACCAAGATGACATTACATGACGATGCTCTCGATTTTTTAAACCGAGGTAAGTCTTTTCATTTATTTTGCTGATGATTTATACAGCATGAAACAGATGCAAAAATAATGATGATGATAATATCTACTCATTTAAACTTGCTCTGATCAAAGATAAATATGTGTGTCTATGCATGTCAGTTTTTTCTTGAACATGAACAAGGAATATTTTGAATAAAAAAATTGTATTAATAGAAAAATTAAATGCAAAAAAAGACAAGAATGACAAGATTGTTTTTCATACGTCTATAAATAATTGTAGTCATGACTTTAACATGACTTATTTTAACATAGTAAAGAAGTAGTATATTTAATCCAAATTTGACAAGGAAATAAGCCTATTTAAAAAGATACCACCCCAGGGAATAAGGAAACAAAAAACCTACTAACATGCTGTAACGCTAAAGCTCATCCTCCACAGATCAAATATTTTGATTATTTTAATTATTTTAGCACAACGGGTTTTGAGAATCAAAATCAGCTTCCTGCCAAGTACTTCAGTACTTTAAAAGTCTTTAATGCAGATATCAAATATAACTATTAAACCCCAATAAAATGTAAGAAGAGCAAAAATATCTAAGTTTATTTTAAGTTCAGAAAGTCTGCATAAATGTACTTAAAAAAAACATTAAAAAAAAAAAAAGAATGAGCAGTTAATTTAGCTGCTATTCATTTGGAAACCAGACTTCACATTAAAAAAAAATGAATGAATAAATAAGATATTTAAACACACACATCTTGTAATGCTTGTAGATACTCTTTAGACCAGTGGTTCTCAAACTTTGTTTATCAAGTACCACCTCAGAAAAAAATTGTCTCTCCAAGTACCACCATATTGAGCAGTATTGAAATACAGTAGCGTAGTAAGCCCAGTAAAGCAGGTACAGCTCTGCAGTTCTAAAATGTGGCAGATTCATTTCTATTATTAACAATATTTATTACTGTCAGCCATTTTAAACATTATAAATAGTCTGAATGTTAACACTGTCCTCATATGTCTTATAAATGCTTATATATCCTAATCTGCAATTGCCTCTCTGGTTCTACCGCTAACTGTATTACAAACAGAAAAAAAACTAATTACTAATGTTTTGCTTCTTACACTTTACAGACCTGAAACTTGCCTATAGCACTAATTCATTGTTGCTCTTATAGTTGTGTAAATTGCTTCCTTGTCCTCATTTGTAAGTCGCTTTGGATAAAAGCGTCTGCTAAATGACTAAATGTTAATTTAAATGTTAATATGTAAAAAAAGAAACCAACAAAAAATTTAAAATGTCAACATTTAAATTAAAATGTGCTTTTAAAAGTTAAAAATGGTAGGTTGATGTTCCTAAAAAGTAAAAAGAAAAGTGCTGTACTTAAATGTAAAGTATTAACATATAGTAGCCAATTCATCAACACCTGGAAATGTTGCCTGGACCTCAGAAATATAGGCTATATGTCATATAATAATAATATTATATGTCACATTCATATATAAATCATTTTTGATCAATTTTGAAATATATGTAGCAAGTACATATGACATACTGATATCTCCACATACCACTGGTACTCGTACCACAGTTTGAGAACCACTGCTTTAGACTATACAATTATATTAAAATGATGAAGATATATCAGATGGATATATTTTATAAAGCAGATTAGACAACGATCAATAGTGTTATTCAAATTAAAGCTACAGTTACAGGGAAGTTAAAAAAGCAAATAAGGAAGTAAAAAGCTTATTTAAAAAAAACACAAAGCCAACACTCATACACTTATTTATGCTTTAAATATACTTAATAATGTATTACAATACTACAATGACTAGACCTTTAATAGCCACACTAAGGTTTCATTAGTTATTGAATGTATTAACTAACATTAAATAAGAATGCACAATACTTGTATAGCATTTAATCATAGTTCAACTTTTAGCTAAAATCCAAAGTTGTGCTTTTTTAACATTAGTTAACTGTTTTAACAATGAACAACTTAACAATGAACTGCATTTGAATAAATTAACATTAACAAATGCTGTAATAAATGCTGTAATAACTGTCATTGTTTGCTGATAAATACATTAACTAATTGCACCTTATTGTAAAGTGTTACTCTTATAATATATACAACAACCCCAAATCAGAAAAAAAGATGGGACAGTATGGACGCGTTAAATATTTTAAATTAATCACATGCGTTAACACACTAATTTTGACAGCCCTAATATATATATATATATATATATATATATATATATATATATATATATATATATATATATATATATATATATATATATATATATATATATATATGTATGTATGTATGTATATATATATAGACAATTTTATTAATTTGACAATATTTTATTTTCCCTTCTTCCATGCAACAGTTATGGATAAAATAACACTCACACCTCCATCCAAAGCCGTTCAGAAGTTAATCATTGCCACATTCATGTTGATATCTTTTGTATGTATATTTTTTGTCTACTACAATCCAAACACAACCTTTTTCAAATTCCCTGCTGTGGACGTCCATACAAACAGCAGCTGCACAGAAACTTGCCTCGATGTTTTGAAGACGCAGAACTACAAATGCACTATAAAAAACGCCTCAGACAATCCATCGACAACACCAGTGCCAAATCCTGCACCGACTACTGCTAAAAAAGACGATCAAGAAACCATCCTGTTGATCTGGGTGTATCCTTTCGGAGCACGTTTTGACTTGGGAGTGTGTGGTTCGCAGTTCAACATCCACGGCTGTCATTTAACAGACGACAGAAGTATGATCCAGAAAGCGCATGGAGTTATGTTTCACCACAGAGATCTGAGCGCGGATTTGCCGCAACCCCCTCGACCAGCTTTCCAAAAGTGGATATGGTGGAATATGGAGTCTCCGAGTAATTCCCATCCAAACAGCTTGATAAATGATGGGTTTAATCTGACGTCAAGTTTCCGCAAGGATTCAGATATTCCAGTGCCTTACGGTCGACTCATTGATGCCACGGACGAACAGAAAAACTTCACCATCCCCAAAAAGGATAAACTAGTTTGCTGGATAGTAAGTAACTTTCAAGAACACCACAAACGTTCACAGTACTATAATGAGTTGGTGAAACACATTAAAGTGGAGGCCTATGGAGGGCACTTCAATAACCGGGTTAATGATGAAGACTATGGAAATGTGGTGTCCAGTTGTAAATTCTACCTGTCCTTTGAGAACTCCATTCACAGAGACTATTTCACTGAGAAGCTGTTCAATCCTTTAGCGCTCGGTACGGTTCCTGTTGTACTTGGCCCTTCCAGAGATAACTATGAGGAGTTTATACCAAGAGACGCCTTCATCCATGTGGATGATTTCCCAACTCCCAAGGAACTGGCGGATCACCTTAAACTCTTGGACCAAAACGAGGAACAGTACAGACAGTATTTCAGCTGGAGGAAACATTTTATTTCAATGAGTTCATCATTTGGGCTTGAACATGCCTGTAGGACTTGTGATTATCTTAAAAGGAATAAGCACTATATAGCTATTAAAGATCTGAAAGGGTGGTTCTGGGGTTAATGGGATTGTTCACCCATTAATGAATATTCTGTTATTAATTATTCAGTTCATACCTAACTCCTAAGACCCTCGTTAGTGTTCAGAAAACAAATGAAGATATTTTAGATGAAATCCTGGAGATCTCTGACTCTCTCAAGGGTCTCGAAAAAATGTCCAGAGAGGAACCAAAAATATTATGAAAACTCCATGTGACTAATTTCATGAATCTACAAGAATCCAACCAAAATTAACCGATGTAAAGACTTTATTCACCAATGTTTATTCTGCGTGCTCTCATGAACATGTCTTGAAATACGCAGAAGAAACTGTTCAACAAAATCATTTCAGTATATCATTTCAACACAATAATTTTGGTACGTAAACTTACAATCAAACCAATAATATCAAATGAAAAGCTTCTCGTAGTGTTCACACTGAAACTTTCAGGACCCTTTTTGTCTATGGAGAGTGAGAGAGCTCCAGGATTTCATCTTAAATTTCTTCATTTGTGTTACGAACATAAACAAAGCTCTCAGGGGGGTTTGAACGATATGAGGGTAAATTATTAATGACAGAATTTTCATTTATGGGTGAACTTACCCTTTAAGAGTTGGCAATACTAGAGTGTCTGGATGAATACTTGGGTTTGAAAGCATTGGTTTTCAGAGAAATGATCAGCTTTATTGCCAAGTACTGTGAGTGTACACAAACAAGGTATGTCTTGATGTATCAGTGCCTAACAATGACAATAAAATGCACAAATTAAGATAATTTTAATGCCAAATTTTGAATAAATTTAATTGAAAATACACAGATACATGTTGGCCATGCAAAACCAAAATAAGTTAAACTAATATTCTTGCGTAGGCTAGTTAAAGTTTGCAAATACATGCTTTAAAGTAGGGCTAGGTGATTTATAAAAGGCAATGTCATGCCCATTTTATCAGGAAAACTAGAGTTCTGGCCGTAGAGAAGCTTTGCTTCAAACACACTTCTTTCCACTTATTTCTTTATTTTTTCTCCATATTTAATGATAACAATATTTATTTCAATGTAAATAGTTAATGCTTCCAGATTTAAAAGAGTAGACTAATAACGACTGAAGTCACACAAATTAGAGTGTCCTTTAAAGGGCACCTACCACTTTTTTTTTCTTTCCACTTATTTCTAATTGATCTTCTTATATTAAAAAATGGATAAATGAAAATCCATCAAAATGTCAAATATCAAACAAAATTCATTCCAAAATAAGCTTTCAACAAAACTGAAGGGGTCAAAAATTATGTCTGACCCACTTCTTTTCCTCTGTCCTACTGCGGGCCCATTTACCAAGCCTTTATGACGCTCACAGCCAACACATTAATGCAAGCACTTAAATCTTCTGTTTATACTGCAATGCTATGGAGGATTTCCTGAGTTTCCTCTTTATGGGTATTTGGAGTTTTCACAAGAGAGCTCACTCTGGCCTTCAGAGGACATTTGTAGTGATCACAGAACAATGCTTCCTGGTCATGATGTGCATGACAGTCACAGCTTTGCTTTATTGTATTTGCGATTTTATTGTGGTTTATAACCCAGCCCTACATTGAAAACATTAAATGAAGGATAATTTCAAATCCAGTCAACATTCAGAATAGCTAATGCTGACAGCACAAATGAAGGCAACTTTCAGTTGAACTAATAAATACAAATCCAGCCAATAAAATACTTTTTAAAGCTGGAGTCAGGAAGTCAAGAAGAGATAAATCTGTGAAAGGGGTTACTAAATAATCCCTTAAAGCTGCTTGAATTTTTGTTACACAATGAAAATGTATAAATGTACATCTCTTAACTGTATAAAGCAGTTATGTGTATTATTATATGTTTATTTTATACATGCTTATGCTATTTTGGTATTTTTAAGTTTTAAAGGCTATTTTTGAGGGCTCACTGAGAAACATCAGTAAGGGAGTAAGAGAGAATTCAAGAAAAATATTGTTTTTTTATTAAATTATCATTAATTATTTACTTATTATAAATTATATTATTATTTATTTAATATTGTAATTTTATAGTTGAATTCAGCTAATATTGCTCAATTAAATAATGTTTAAGATGAAGGTCCAGTGAAGCATTTGTCATACTCAATTATACTTAAATTATTTTCATTAGGTGGGTCAGGATGCCACAAGCATAACTCAAGATTTTGTCATGAATGAACCTATTTATTGCCATTTGTGGTGTTTAATCTCTGTATTTTAACACATAAATACTGATATTTTGGTATGGTGACACAAAAGTTGTTAGGTTAACGTGTTGCACTTATTATAGGTTTGTTATGAACAGTATTATGCAGTTAAATTAAAATGTCTTTATACTGTATGTAACCTAATAAAGAAGGTTTTGTTAACTTATCCATTAGTGAGTAGGCCTATAACTATAGCAATAGGCCTGTATACTGTGAATTTTGACAAATGCATCTGGTTTTAAAGGACAGTACTGTTTTATTTCCCATGCATGTTTCAAGCCACTGAAAACATAACTTATTAATAACACAGCATTAATTAGGTTTTAGATCATAATTAGTGCTGAGCAATGTAGCAAATTTATTTTTTACATTTTGAGGTATATACTAAGTAATAGGGCTGCACAATATATCATTTCACCATTAATATTTCAATGTGTGAATACACAATAGTCACATCGCAGGATGAGCAATGTGGAGTCAGGACTATAGTTGGCCAGGTACAACAGTTACACATAAACATTTTGGAGTAACTTCATCTTAACCAAAGTGTTTTTTTTAAATATTAAAATATTTTAAGTGAGTCTAAAGCATTTGGGCTTCATAAAATGTTACATTTGTAACTTTAACAAAGATGAATCGTATTTAAATATTCACACAAAGAGGAATATGCAGCTTTTTGCATTTACATTTGATTATTTTATTCTGTATCTATATACTGTTAGACTCCATTGGTATATTTGATATTTTATTAGATTTATTTACTCTCTGCTTGTAACTTATGATATGCTATGCACTCCCCTCATTTCAATCAATCTAAAATTAATAATTGGTCAAGTTATCTTGTGAAAAATCGCAATATAAATCGCAAAAAAATTAAATACTGCAATTTAGTTTTTTCCAATTTCATGCAGCCCTACTAAATAATGTACTTCTTTGTATTTAACTTTTACTTTATTTAGAACTTCAGGGTAAATATTGCAATTAAAATATAGAAATGTAAAATATATATTAATAAAAGATAAAGCGTTTTTTAAAAAACTAATGATTACAGTCTAATATAAGAAATACAAATGACAAAATACCGCTAAATAAAATGCAAAATGTAAACATTGTACTTTTGTACTGTCAATGTCAAGATTACTAATTGTCATGCTGCTGTTATAGGTGTTTCTGCATCTCCATATTAGTGTGCACTTTTAAAGACACCACAAAATCATATGAAACAAAGACTTTTTATTTTGTCCATACACAGTTGAAGTCAGAATTATTTTCCCCCCTGAATTATTAGACCGCTTGTTTATTTTTTTTTTCCCAATTTCTGTAAATGATATTTGACTAGGTATTTTAAGACACTTCTATGCAGCTTTAAGTGACAATTAAAGGCCTAACTAGATTAATTAGGTTAACTAGGCAGGTATGGGTAATTAGGCAAGTTATTGTATAACGATGGTCTGTTCTGTAGATTATCGAGAAAAAATATAGCTTAAAGCAGCTAATAATTTTGTACCTAAAATGGTGTTTAAAAAAAATTAAACTGCTTTTATTCTAGCTGAAAAAAAAACAAAAAAGACTTTCTCCAGAAGACAAAATATTATCAGACATACTGTGAAAATTTCCTTGCTCTGTTATTTGGAAAATATTTTTAAAAGAAGAAAAAAATGTAAAGATGGCTAATCCTTCAACTGTATATACACACACACACACACACACACACACACACACACACACACACACACACACACACACACACACACACACACACACACACACACACACACAAACATCACATAGATAAATATACAGTTAAAGCCAGAATTACCCCCCAGAATTATTTACTGTCATCATGGCAAAGATAAAATAAATCAGTTATTAGAAATGTGTTATTAAAACTATTATGTTTAGAAATGTGTTGGAAAAATTGTCTCTACGTTAAACAGAAACCGGTGGAAAAAATAAACAGGGGGGGCTAATAATTCTGAATTTATACTACAGTATACTTTTCTGTATACTATCAGAACACAATTTATGCTTCATCCTTTTAATAAACAAGTAAAAAAACTGACAAATACACCCTTTGTACCATCTGATAAAACCTGACTTACAGACAAAACAGCATAGCTCAGCAGGAAAGTTGTTGATGTAGGACTGAAGTTTGTGCTAAGAACTTTTGTACGCCTTAAGTAACCTGCCTACAGATTTGGGAAAAACAGAGAGTGTTTCATGACCCAGACTCTATGATTTATGAAATAACCAGTAGAACCAGTTACATTATGTGGCATAACAAAAGGCTAGTTTCATGAATCTATTACGTGAATGTCCTCTTTATTTCAATGTGGTCATAGTTTCACATCAAAGTGAACAAAGAAATCCACAACATCATAAAAACTAAATTAAATGGCATTATTTAATTAACAAATACACACAGTATCATTTGTACAAGTAGATTTAAGAAATATTCTGTTCTCACCTTTAAAACTCTACAATATCTCTAAGGAGGTTATGTTATTAGGACAGTTATTGTCATGAAGTATTCGTAAGTTCATTGCTCAGTAGATCAACTCTTTCGTCAACCTATTAATCACAACAACAAAACAACTTGTCAGCAAATAAAATGTCTTAACAATCAAATATGTAGCATTTATTATTAATACCTCTGGCAAATTCTTATTTCGTTCAGACTAAATAAATAAATGGCACACTACGTAACTTTAGGTCCTCTAATAATTATAAAGAAATCTGCATGCGTCTTGGAGAAAAGACATTTTTTTGGTTTTGCACGAACACATTTAAATGACATTGTGGTTACTGTACAAAAACACTGTAAGTGTGTTAATTGTGCTGCATGGATAAACAGGCAAACATTAACATAGAATATTTTTGAAAATCGAAGAGTCTCAGATGTTTATTATGTTGGTGTTATCCACAACAATAAGTCAGTTATTAGCAATTGCAGGTTTAAAGTATTAGTTCACTCCCAGAATTATAATTTGCTCACTCCCTTGTCATCAAAGTATAAAGTATTATATTTAAATACATATATAAATGACTGATGAATTTGCTAGTTAAGAAATTGTAATTATTAAAAGCTTTATGAAGTTGTATTAAATCTCTACTTTATTTGGAGAAGTACCTGGAAATACCTGGAAAAAAAAACTAGGGATGGGTAAATTATGAGGACATTTTCATTCTGGAACTATTTCTTTAATTGTCTAGATTGAATTTACAAGTGAATAATGTAATGTTATTGGTGAACCACGTGATTTAAAGGAATCAGTTTTACAATATCTGACAGCGGTTACGATTTAAGCTACACTTTCTGTCATTTTTATTTCACATTCCTTGATTTAGCATGAAACTAGCTGATTTTCAAAATCATAATTGAACCAGAAAAAAATATTACAAATTGTAATATGACAAAAAAACAGAGTACTTTTCTGAAACAGGTTTTCTGATATAATATTAATATTATTTCGAGTTATGTAATAATATTACTTTTCTAATTAATGAGTAAAGTAACGCATTACCTTTAAAAATGAGTAATAATATTTGAGTTCTTTTTTGAAAATGTAATGCTTTATATTTTTAACTAAATATGTTTTAGTTTAATTGAATAGTTTTTAAAAAAAATAAATTGCTGAACTAAAATTAAAGTCATCACAATTAATCATGCAACGGATGCTCCGATCGAGCCGCATCGGCCATTAATCACATTTTATGATTACTTGGTACTCGCCAAGCTGGCTGATCTCACGAACCAATCATAAGTGTTACCATATATATAATATACAATATATAATAATATTATATAATATATATACAATATATATATGGCATGTATAGCTCTGTTGTCCGAAAGTTCTCAGATAATATTATCCTAAAATATGAATTTTAATACACTTTTTCTAAAGGTAAATGAAGGTTTTACAGTCCATTGTTAAATCGCAAAAACTTCTCTATTAAAAAATAAGGAAATAAAGAAAGAGATCAAGCCACAGCCAGGTAATAAAAAGTAACTCAAAAGTAACATGATGCATTACTTAAAATAAAAACTAACTAAGAAATGCAATTAGTTACTTTTTGGGGAGTAACTCAATATTTTAATACATTACTTTCAAAAGTAACTTTCCCCAACACTGTGTGTGTATATGTATATAATCAGTTTTTATCACAGTAAATTGTGGTGTATTGAAGGCCTACCTGTGGTAATTTTTTTGTAAAGTTATATATAAATATATATATATATATATATATATATATATATATATATATATATATATATATATATATATATATATATATATATATATATATATATATATATATATATAGCAACAATACTACTGTAACAAATTAATTCAAGTACTTTACTTTGGTATTTACTATGCTTCTTTCCATGTGGGTTTAAATCTCAAAACAGCTTCTTGAGAGAAAACTTCTCTGCTGTTTTAGACCGCACTCTAGTGGTCACACTGCCAAATTACATAGTACTTAATTCACTTCAGGTCGCAAGTTAAAAAACAAAAAAGAAATCAGGTTTGTATTTTACACGGTCCATTCTTCAACATACAACGCAAAACACTACCCAGGCTACTATTGTCAAAACAAATATAGAAAAGACAATCGCGTTATGGTGAGCTCATTGCTTCTTAGCACATGTTGTTGGACAAAAAATAAAAGTTTAATTACCTTACCTGAGTAAAAAACAAAGGGGTCTGGGGATTTCTGAGCTGGGCATTTCGTCTTCATGAATAAAACAGCTCACTCGGGTTTTACGCATTCTTTGTTGGCCTCTTTTTACACGTTAAATCTGCCTTGTTTACAGTTTATTTGGTTTTTAAATCGGTGATTTAGGCCTTTGTCGATACATTTTGCTCATAGTTTTTAACCTTTTTGTTATTCTTACATCTCACAAGTATACATTTTCTGTGTGGATATGACGAGACACGCGCGTGCTAATGACGTAAGCACTAAACAAACCGCGGTTTCTGAGACGAACTTGTGATGGTACTCACTCGTTATTTAATGTCTTTTTTCCATTCTGGACCAAAGTTACGTATTGTAAGTCTTTAATTTAACTGAATTTATTCTTATTTTTTTAAACAGCAAGTTCGAAACGGTTAAAGATTTACTTACATGTAATTCTGCTGTTAATTCTGTTGCTTCCTCTCCTCCATTTGCCTTCTCTGAAAATGATCAGAGAAAAGTATTGTTTATACATTTAATTTATATAAATTAAAGAAGGAATTCTCTTAAATATTAAAAAGGGGAAGTTTACTCCATTATGTAAAAATCAGTCTTATTATGATGAAAATAAGTCTTACTCTGCCATGACCACAATTTCCAAGCAATACCAGTAAACAATGTGAGTACCACACAAACTAGTAAAACCACCCAAATAAGGTTTCTGAAATACATAAATAAATAGTCATTAGACTTGAAATATGTTATCAGCTAACATGCGAAATGATAGTATGTTTTACAGAAACACTTTGAACATACTGTACCTGGATCCATATCCAGAGGGTACAGATATTGTTTCTTTAAATGAAACAGTAACTGCAGAGCTCTTATCAACAAATGGAGTTGTGGATCTGCTGGCTAGTGGTTTCTTTGTCCTAATGGTACTGCTGCTTTGGGACGAGTCCTCTTTTGAGTTCTTTGTTGATGTCGGATAGGATGAGGATGACGGTATTGTTGACTGAAACTGCTTTGGGGATGCTGTAAATGTGTGAACGGAAGTACTTTCAGGTAATTTTGCTTTTGTAGGTTCAAGTGTTGCCACTGGACTATGGTTGTGAACAGCAGTGGAGTACGTTGAGATGAAGGATGGTGCTGTGGTAAATGTGGAAGAACCTGTAAATAAAAGAGCAGGTCAGGTATGAGACAAATTGCTACTGCTTATTCAGAACCTAATAAAAGTACATTTGTACTTTCTTGAATGATATGGTATAATGCTTTCAGGTGAGGTACAGCAGTGTGGTGGAGTGTTGGTTCACACAGTTTTTCACCACTATTTTCCTGTCTTAAATCAAGTTACAACAAGTTTTGACAAGGGTAACTTACAATAAGCATGCTGTTTGGATTGGCAATATTGGTTTTCATTGAATAATTCCCGTCCAAAAGTCTACTCTGTTTGTTTTGATTATCCACACCATGGCTAAACAAGTGGCATGAGTTTAAGGCAGGGTTACGTCTGTCCACTCCAGACACAACATGACTAGAACAGGGTTTCTGGGGGGTCTTAAAATGTCCCAAAATCAAAGTTTTAGGCCTTAAGAAGTCTTAAATTTACTGAAATATTGTGCTGTAGGTTTTAAATATTTTTTTAAACAAGTCCTATTTTCCTTTGTTCTTGTTTATCTACCCAATCTGGCAAAAACTTATAGAATCACCAACAATTCATCTCAATAACACTTTAAACCTTTTATTTAAAAAGGTAATTTTTGCTCCATTAATCATAATGGTTCAATTATTTTCCATACAATAACATTTGTTTAAAAGTGCTCCATTAACTGCAGAGGACAGATTGATGAGCATAGATTTAGATTATTATAGTTTTTAAAACATTTGTTAATTTTTTTTTTAAAGAAAGTTTATGTTGAAAAAAAGACAATGATACAAATAGAGCTTAATTAAAATATTTAGCTAAGAAATATCTAAATTATTTAAATAGTTTATTATTCATTTAATATTTTATTAATACATTTATTAAAGAAAAAAATTAATTGGACAAATTAAATGTTATTCCATTTGGGCACTTTGTAAAATTCCTTAGCCGTTAGTCCTTTATGAGTCTAAAATTTCATTAATAATGGTCTTACAAATGTATTTATTTTAACTTGGTGAAACCTGCAGAAACCCTGTAGAAGATGCAACTAAATCAATCACAGACCATCAAAAAGGCTATCAAACTTACAGATAATTGAGTAAAGGGACAGTTTACCCAAAAGCAGTCAGCGTGGCTAAAATCTATGTGAGAGTGGGCATTCTCTTCATTGGCATCTAAACTGTGGAACTTTTATTCACCAGTTTGTTCACCAGTTTGAACATTCTTGTTGCTAAATGTTCCTGAGCTACATTAAGTAAATAACCCAATGTTGCTCAAATCAAGTCAAATTAAACCCTTTTATATGGGATTATATTGTTTAGCAAAATCAAGGTTGAATTGTGGTTACAATAGTTTAAAAGGATAGTTCAAAAACTGAAAACTCTGTCAACATTTTTTCACACCTAAAATGTTTTAAACCAGATTGTTTTTTTTTCTTCTGCTGAACACAAAAGTGATTATTCAGAAAGCTGAAAGCTAGCAACCATTGACTTCCATAGTATTTGTTTCAAATAGATGTTAATGGTTACAGGTTTCCAGCTTTCTTCAGAATAACGTCTTTAGTGTTAAACAGAATTAGGAACCTGCGGGTGAGTAAATGTAGTCTCTAGTTTTTGGGTGAACTGTCCCTTTAATGTTATATGTAGTAGTAAATCCATGGTTATTTTTCATATGGGTAATAAGAAAGTAGCATTCATTTTATGTCTGCAATGTTACTGAAATACATTCTGACTACACAATATATGCAATAAACCATTACCAAAACTCACTTGTATTCCCATCTGTAAACATCTGCCTTGAATTGACAGTGATATGAACAGGAACCTGCCATTCTCCAGCCATACACCAATACCAGCCCGCGTTTGTCTTCTTCACTCCAATCAGTGTCACAGTATAAACACCGTCATCTGTGTCATTTATTTGCAGATCTGCGCCAGGGGACGCCTCTATATCCTGAGCTGTTTGACAGGAGTTCAAGTCCCCACTAATGCACCATTTTTTCTCAGTATCTCTAAGTTTGTCACTGTAGAGACACCGGATGGTGACATTGCTGTCCTCTTCACCAGACACCCTGTTATTGGCCACTGACAAATCTGGAGTTCCTGAAAATATGCAATCAGTTACAGGGTTACATTCTACAAATATTTCAAAACAATTTCTGCCCCTATATTTAACAAAAATGATTTTCATATAGTCAAATTTATGCTTTTACAAAAATGCCTTTGCAAAACATGCAGTTTCTGTATAATGACTCTACACTTGGAATCATCAAATGTCTGGTGGTGCTAAAGTACATCACCCATATATTTACCCTCAGTGATGGAAAGTTCCAGAGATGTTCTCACGTGGGAGCCTCCTGTTTTCACTGCACACCAGTAGCGGTTTGAATCACTGCTGCGTAGGTTTGTCATTGTCATGGTCGTTACCAGTTCATCTGGGCTATCGTAAAAGCTGATCCCGGTTCGGTTCTGTTGATTGGTAGGTCTCATCTTCACGCAGGTCATCCACCTCTTGCCTTTGCACCATATCTTTACAAGATCCTTGTGTTGACGGTAATAGTGACAGGGAATGGTAACGGATCCCCCACTTTGAACTGTAATCTTGCTTACTGTCCATAGAGAGTTTATACCTAAACATAAAACAGATCATTTTAATATGAAGACTCTCTGCTGATCATGGCAAATTATTATGTATGGTGTGGTGTGGTTTGGCTTAGCTGCACTGAACAAATAGAGACTATATTTTCTGTATTACAGCATCTTTGTCTGATGTGAAGAAGAGACTGCAAGGTCTCTGAATCTGAAAATGTAACAGAATCTGCTACTTTACGCATTGTAGCAAGTTAGCAAGAAAATTAGCTTCATTAACGTCTTTATTTTATATAGCCTACCCCAAAATGCATGTTGGACTGATGTGAACTACTAAAGATACAGACAAAAATGAAAATTCTGCCATCATTTACTCATCGACTTGTTCTAAACCTGTTTGTGTCTCTTTCTACTGCTGAAAACAAGACAATATTTTGGAGAATGTTGGAAAGGTATAGCTAGCCATTGATTTCCCTACTGAAAAAAACTGCTTAAACCAGCCTAGGCTGGTTGGCTGGTTTTAGCTGGTCGACCAGGCTGGTTTTAGAGGGGTTTTGGCCATTTTCAGGCTGGTTTCCAGCCATTTCCAGCCTGGTCTTAGCTGGTCAGGCTGGGAGATGACCAGCTAAAACCAGCTTGACCAGCCTAGCCAGGCTTGGAGCCCAGCCAAAACCAGCTAAGACCAGGCTGGAAATAGCTATAAACCAGCCTGGAAATGGCCAAAACGCCTCTAAAACCAGCCTGGGCTGCGTTTCCCAAAAGCATCGTAAGCCTAAGAAGTTCGTAGAAATGATCGTACGACTGATCTTAATATTACGGTCTGTTTCCCAAAAGCATCGTAACTTAAGTAGCACTTGAAAATCTTCGTGGATCTACGAGTGCTCTGGAGTAATCGTAAAGCCTTAAGTGCATCGTAAGGAGACAGAGTTATGAGGGCACCTGCTGGACAACCGGCAAATTGCACCTACAATTTACTTCTCTTCAAAGTCATTATTCATTTTATTTGTACGTATATCTCTATTCATTTATATTTTCTACACATTACACAATTCAATATACAAATAATAATAATTAATAATTAGGCTAAACTTTTCAAAAATAGATGTAAGAGCTTATTTATTTATTTACTTATTTATTTATTTTGATGTGAGATAAGCAATTTTTGATAAAGAAATTGATAAATAATTCTACTTAATTAAGGTTTCATATAAATATCGAAAATGATGCTGATGTCATTTCCGGCAAGGACTGTTAGAATTAGTTTTATGCGAGATTGGAGCAAGACAGTGTTTTTACAGTACGACATTTCCAGTTAATTTATGTTTTTAAACTGGCTCAAAAATATATTTTTTTTTATGTTATTCGAGTTGAATATACATTCACACAAGTAGAAGAAGAATTATATGGATTGCTATAACATGTGCAACAATAACGAGCCATTCTATAGCGTGACATTTCAGCACTTAACAAACGGATAGCGACTCCTAAGTTGCACTTAAAGCTGGGCTACGTGCAATTGTGTTAAGTGCATTTTTGGGAAACGCACGTGAAACAATAACGAACGTTCGCAAAATGACTCGTAGAAAACGCTCTTAAGTGCTAAGATCAATCGTTATCGGGAAACGCAGCCCTGGTCGACTAGCTAAAACCAGCCAACCAGCCTAGGCTGGTTTAAGCTGGAATTTTCAGCAGGGTTCCAGGTTGCTGACATTCTTTAAAGCATCTTCTATTGTTAACCATAGAAAAAAAGAAGTCAGAAAGGTTTATATGTGTGAGTTAATGTAGGACATTTTCGATTTTGGGTGAACTATCCAATTTAAGCTAACCAAAACGTGTTAGCCTCTCACAACTTCAGTGTTACCAAAATTCAGCTGGTGAGGTCTAAATCTATGTCATAGAAAGCACATTTCTATAATCTGAAGAGTTGCAGATATACAGCAGGATGGTAAACATCCTACAAGACAACAAAAGTCACAGAAATCCTCTTTGTAACATCACGATGTTAGCATAACTGAACAGCGACCTCTAGTGACAGATTTCTCCAAATCGCTGATTTTGGCTCAAAATCTTTATTATTACCTGTTTTGCTTGACAGATCCCAGCAAACTGATTCAAAGAGTAAACGTAAACTGTTGAGGGGGAAAATAACTTTTATCTGGAAATTATATCTCCATTTTTAGGCAGCAGATGAGAATCCGGTTGATGCATCTGCTTTGAATTCTTTAAAGGTTTCACAACACCAGCCAGAATCCACTTAAAGGGACTTTGCCAATACATTAAGGGCACAGAGAGAAAGAGGATGTTTGCTGAAAGGGCACGTTTGAAACTATGAAATTTCAAGCTCTGTTGAAATGTCAAACGAACGTCATTTCAATCACTTTGACGTCAGTAAACTGACTGGATTGATCAATCCCTGACCAATATAGGCTATTACGTCTGTTTAATTATGTATATCATCACAACTGAGTATATTTAACATTTAATTATTATATTAGTTTTATAAATACTTGTTTAAATCTAATTATTTTCATCCCAATATAATTTATTAACTTTTAAAACTGATGAACATGAAAATTAATTATATAGCCTCATGCTTATATTAGGGTTTGCATATTAAAGCTGCATAGGCCTACAGTGCAATCACTAACGATATGATAATCAGCGGCAAATAATTAAATAAATAGTTTTAAAATATTACAGCTATTTAAAAATATATGAAATACGTCGGTTCATTCCGCTGTGGTGACCCCAGTAAAGCAGCCCAAGGAAAGTGTGTGAGAAAAATACATACAGTAGCCTATACAGAAATTATAGTTAATTTAAAATCCACCAGTCAAGTTATAGACAACTGTATATATACAATTGAAGTCAGAATAATAAGCCTGTATAATAATAACGGCAAATTATTAGCCCCCTGTTTATTTTTCTCTAATTTCTGTTTAACACAGAGCAGTTATTTAGCACATTTTTAATAACTAATTTCTTATAACTGATTTATTTTATCTTTATCATGATGATAGTAAATAATTTTGACTAGATATTTTTCAATACACTTCTATACAGCTTAAAGTGACATTTAAAGGCTTAACTAGGTTAATTAGGTTAACTAGGCAGGTTAGAGTAATTAGGCAAGTTATTGTATAAGGATTTGTTCTGTAAAACATATAGCTTAAAGGGGCTATTAATTTTGACCTTAAAATATTTTTAAATTAATTTAAAACTGCTTTTTTTCAAGCCAAAATAAAACAAATAAGACTTTCTCCAAAAGAAAAAAATATTATCAGAAACTTCCTTGCTCTGTTAAACATAATTTATGAAATATTTAAAAAATAATATAATTAAAAGGGGGGCTAATAATTCTGACTTCAACTGTATATATGTATATGTATATATATATATTACCCTAAAGATTGTCTTACCTTGAACTCCTAAAAGCAGCACTAGGGTACGCAGCAGAAAAGCCATGTGGATATTCACTGATTTACCAAGATTGATAAAATCTCTTCACGTGTACCTTCGTCTTGAAATAAAATGCATCCCTAACACACTTCCTTTTAACGTTTGTGGATTTCAACATTTCCCGAACATCTCTAATACACTTGTTTCCTGTCATCCTTCCCCTTTATAAAGTGTAAAGTCTCAGGTTGAGTATAACATTTACCTCAAACAATGTTCAATAATAATCATAATAATAATAACAGTAATATTACAATATATACACAAAAAATATTATTAGTAGTGATAATTATTTATTTATCGATTTTAAAAATTGAAATACAGTTATGTAAAATGTAATGTAATATAAAATCAAACATGTATTTGGCATATGTTGTCCTAAGGTCATCCATGCTCCAAAGCTACTAAAATTGCATTTAGATGATGTATGCATTAATTAATGACTAAAAACAAAATGTCATCTTATTAATCCTAAAATATATCTATATTTATCTGAACTACATTTAAAACTTGACTCAACTTAATAGACTAATTTGATAAATATTTAAAGGGTCCAGTTTTCCAGTTTATTTTGACTTGTGTCCATTTAATCTGGTAGTTGTACATATTTGTTTTCTCTATTGTGCAAACCAAACCACGAGCAGCAGACTTGCTACCAGTTCCAGTATTGCAGTCATCTGTTTGTCTGTCTGTCTGATTTTCTCCTCCAGGGAGCAGTCATGAGACAGTTTTACCACAGGATTTATGCAATCTCAGTTTCCTGGTATTATTTACAATATGTTACACATCTCAAATATCACTCCAGTCTATACTTGTATTGACTGACATCTGTGAATTGAATTGTTTTGTTACTTGAAATAAAGAAAGTAACATTACAAATCTTTTTTTTTTCTCTCTCAATAATGATTTAGTCTGAGCTGATTTAAAGTTTAAGCATGACCTCTTATCTTATTTATATGCAATTAGGCCTCTCAGAATAAATATACATTTTTTTGTTGTGCAAAATTATTGTGAGAAATGAAACTACTATCATTTTAAGACCACTTTCAGCCATTAATAATATATTAATTACAATAGCACAATAATGCATGTAAAAATGTAAGGGTCAAATCCCCTTAAGGTTATTTAGTCTGTCATTTGATGCTAAAAAGGTAAATGTCCTAAAATAAATGATTGATGTTTCAACGAACACAGTTGATGTGAAATGTTAATGTGCTTTTAAAATGGATTTAACAGTATTTTATTAACATATTTTTTTATGAAAGTGGACTGCAGCTCTGAAATGAAGATTGTAGTTTTTGGGTAAATGGCAATAATATGCAATTATTTGCAAACTTAAAGGACCAAAAAGGAAAATTCTGTCTTCCACCACTTTTTCTAAACCTCTTTCTTCTCTAGAACATAAAGGAATATATACTGATTAATCATGGATAAAAACAGGCATTGACTTTTGTAGCATTTTTTTAAAGACCATCATTACAGTCACCAGCGATCTAGCTACTCTGCTACCAAATGGACTACAAATCACAGCATGCACCGCGCACACACACCGGTTCCTAATCTCGTCTAAACACTCACAGTTGAAGCTGCTCAAGGACTCATTACACAGACTATTAATACACCACATTTGCTCACACATTGCTTAGTGTTATTTGTTTGTTTTGTTTGTCGAACGAACCTGTAACTTTACAAAGCGTTTCATTTCTTTGTCTAGCCATGTTCTTTGATCCTTGTTGTTCATTCATTCATTCATTCATTTTCGACTTAGTTCCTTTATTAATCAGGGGTCGCCACAGCAGAATGAACTGCCAACTTATCCAGCACATGTTTTACGTAGTGAATGCCCTTCCAGCCGCAACCCAACACTGGGAAACACCCATACACATTTATTCACACTCATACACTATATGGCTTATTTAACTTATTCAATTCACCTATAGCGCATGTCTTTGAACGGTGGGGGACACTGGAGCAGCCTGAGGAAACCCACGCAAACAAGAACATGCAAACTCCACACCGAAATGCCAACTGACCCAGCCGGGGCTTGAACCAGCGACCTTCTTGCTGTGAGGTGATCATGTTACCCACTGCACCACCGTGTACTAATAATTATTACAATTGAGCAAGTTTTAAATAAAAGAGTAAAAAAGGAAAGAAAAAAGAAATGAAAAGTTTGTGTTAAAATGTAAATATTTCCTCTTTCCAGTTATTTACTGTGGATTAGAGCTGATAACTGAACAAGGTAAGCCTTTGCTCCAGTCTAAAACACTGTTCCAGTTCTTGTAAAAAAATGTAAAAAAAAAAAGATTTAAGAGATCCTGCGAGTAAGCATCTTAACTTCTCAAGTTTTATGCAGCTTAAGATTTTTCAGATCCACATGTCATGTGATGGAGAAACCTTCGTAGCATTTTTTGTTCCTGTAGTGATGTCAATGAAAACAAATGTTCCAACATTCTTCAGAATATCTGGTTTTGTGCTTGAGTGAGTGTGAGTACATGCTGTAGAAATGTTCATTTCTGGATGAACTACCCCTTTAAGCCACACTTCAATTTAAATGAATGCGTAAAAGAATAAAATGAAACATCAAGTCTATGAATATTTATTAAAAAAATAGCTAACAAATATATACAGTTCAAGTCAGAATTTTATAGCCCCCCTTTTCTTTTTTAAACTTTTCTCAAATTATGTTTAACACAGCAAGGACATTTTCACAGTATGTCTGATAATATTTTTTCTTCCTGAAAAAGTCTGATTGGTTTTATTTTGGCTAGAATAAAAGCAGTTTTTAATTCTTAAAAACGTTTTTAAGGTCAAAATGGTTAGCCCCATTAAGCAATTTTTTTCTCTAGTTATTCTACAGAACAAACCATCGTTATACAATAACTTGCCTAATTACCATAACCTGCCTAGTTAACCTAATTAACCTAGTTAAGCCTTTAAATGTCACTTTAAGCTGTATAGAAGAGTCTTAAAATATCTACTCAAATATTATTTACTGTCATCATGGCAAAGATTAAATAAATGAGTTATTATAGATGAGTTATTAAAACTATTATGCTTAGAAATATGTTGAAAAAAATCTCTCTGTCAAACAGAAATTAGGGAAAAAAAATAAACAAACAGGGGGCTAATAATTCTGACTTCAACTGTATGTGCTGTTATAAATGTCACAGTAAGATTTTTTTAGAATTAAAATGCTGCTTTGTTTTGTGCAAACAATATATGGAGTGAACAATTTATTAAACATCAAATAGAAATAAAATGTTTAAATGTATATATGTATTAAATGCACATTTTTCAAACGGGTCAGTGATATGTTCTACATGCACCAAAACAAGGACACCACACACACGTATCACCTCTGACATTCATTTGATTCATTTTCATTCACATGCGTATAAAGTCATCACATCATGGGATGTCAGAATCGTACGCTCCATATTAATAATCATGACCTGCTCTAATAATTTGACCTTTTACCTACTTAGCCTTTTAGTGAATATTGCACATTTCTTATATGCATGCCTGTATTTGATATTTATAGAGTAATAGTGCAGTACATCTTTTTTTACAATTGCTTCAAAAAATGACTATAAATGATTCACATTTTATACAGCTCCCTTACATATTTCCGTGCTCAAGTCCAACTGGGAGAAAGGTGAGGCTTGACCTCATAATGACCAGCTGGATCATATTCTATTGGCCGCCTTGTTATGATGACACCGTGTGACTTTCCATGCTGTAGTGTACAGTACAAACACTACGCAGACAAGCTTGCACCCCAGAAAAACACTTATTTATTTATTTATATATATATATATTTTTTTTTTGTTTAAACCTGATTTGCTAGAGACAGACACTATAAACATAGATTGAACTGCTATCCCATGCATACCTTAATGCTAGCCGATCACTTGATCACAAGCTATCATTTCTCTTTAGTTGGGGGTTTTATAAAGGACCAAAAACTAAAACTGCAGTCATAGCAAAACAAATAAACTCACCGGCCACTTTATTAGGTACACCTTACTAGTACTGGGTTGGACCCATTTTGCCTTCAGAACTGCCTTAATGCTTCATGGCATATATTCAACAAGGTACTGGAAATATTCCTCTGATACTTTGGTCCATATTGACATGATAGCATCACGCAGTTGCTGCAGATTTGGATCCATGCTTTCATATTGTTGATGTCAAATTCTGACCCGACCATCCAAAATTGCGGCAGAAATCGAGACTCATCAGACCAGACAAGGTTTTTCGAATCTTCTATTATCCAATTGGCAACCGGTGTGGTCTTCTGCAGCTGTAGCCCATCTGCTTCAAGGTTGGACGTGTTATGCGTTCAGAGATGCTCTTCTGCGGACCTCGGTCGTATTGAGTGGTTATTTAAGTTACTGTTGCCTTTATCAGCTGGAACCAGTCTGGCCATTCTCCTCTGACCTCTGGCATCAACAAGGCATTTGCGCCCACAGAACTGCCGCTCACTGGATATTTTCTCTATTTCAGACCATTCTCTGTAAGCCCTAAAGATGGTTGTGCGTGAAAATGCCAGTAGATCAGCAGTTTCTGAAATACTCAGACCAATTCATCTGGCAAGCTCAAATTCACTTAAATCACCTTTCTTCCCCATTCTGATGCTCTGTTTGAACTACAGCAGATCGTCTTGACCATGTCTACCTAAATACATTGAGTTGCTGCCAAGTGAATGGCTAATTAGAAATTTGCATTAACAAGCAGCTGGACAGGTGTACCTAATAAAGTGGCCGGTGAGTGCACATTAAACATGATAAAAAGTTTGTTGTATATTGGCTTTTTAAAAAAATATTTTATGAATGAATGAAATGAATCACATTCATAGCCTACTACATATAACACATTTCTGTGCTCGAGTCCAACTGGGTGAAAGGTGAAGCTTGACCTCATAATGACCAGCTCTATCATATTTTAATGGCTTGTTGTGATGCTACCATGTGAGTTTCCATGCTGTGTTGTACTTTTCCCTGGAGGGGCTTTTGTAAACTACAACTACAACAATTATATAAAACAAATACTGTATAAAACAAACATACAAAACAAATTATATTATATAAAACAAATACACGGTAGCCTTACAGCAAGAAGGTCGCTGGTATTGCTGTGTGGAGTTTGCATGTTCTCTCCTTGTTGGCGTGGGTTTCCTCTGGGTGCTCCGGTATTACCCCACAGTCCAAACACATGTGGTATTTAAACTACTAAATTGGCTGTAGTGAATGTAAAAGTGTATGGGTGTTTCCCAATCCTGGGTTGCAGCTGGAAAGGTATCCGCTGTGTAAAACATATGCTGGATAAGTTGGTGGTTCATTCAACCGTGATGCCTCCTGATGTATAGAGGGACTAAGCCGAAAAGAATATGAATGAATGAATAAAATTGGCTGTAGTGATTGTAGGTGTATGGGTGTTTCCCAGTATCTGGGTTGCAGCTGGAAGGGCATCCGCTATGTAAAATATATGCTAGATTAGTTGGTGGTTCATTCCGCTGTGATGCCCCCTGATGTATAGAGGGACAAAGCCGAAGGAAATTAAACTACAATACATATTTCTGTGCTCCAGTACAAGTGGGTGAAAGGTGAAGCTTGACCTCATCTTGACCAGCTGTATCATATTTTTATGGCCGTCTTGTTGTGATGCCACCGTGTGACTTTCCATGCTATGGTGTACAAACATTACGCAGGCAGGCTCGCATCCCAGGAAAAACAGTTCTAAGGCTACTTGTTTATCTCGATCTTGACAGCTGACATGTGCAAGTGTCCCTGTCTCCACTTTCTGATTGGCCAACATCGATCTCGACGTAATGCATTGGGCGTGTCTCTGTGCGCGAACGCAAACTTTAAAGAGTCGTCAACAACAGGGGTCTCAAGACAACCCGAGACTGAACCAAGAACTACATTGAGGATATATAGCGATCACTTTTCCAGAGCGACTTTTATCTACTCTGATTTTTAGTTGGGATATTAAGCTTTCCAAGATGAAGTTTGTTAGATTTATGATGAGGAACGCGGCGATGCTAAATGCGCCAAAGCACATTGATTATTACGCCAAGTTTTCTCCATCGCCTTTGTCCATGAAGCAGTTTCTGGATTTTGGTAAGTTTCAAAACTGAATGCATTTTTTTTAATGCTGTAGCCTATTGTTAACATGATAACAGCAGGATGGATAGATGATTATGCATACTGCATTTCAAAACAGCCTTATATTTATTTTATTATGTAACGTTAATGGTGCATTTGCAAAAACATAAAACTATACACTGTATAGCAATATATAGCTATTGCATAATTTAATGCACGCGATAGTTGCATTAGCAATGAGATGCCATTGGTTGCTCAAACGTTTTCATTTTCATTACTTTAAGTTTTAAGTCTTCTTTAAGTTACTTAAAGCCTATAGTTTACCATGCTACATTGAATATTCGGTCTGAAATCGCATGTAATATGACTTTGATAACAACATTAGTACTATATTTGGCTGTAAACAATAGTACTTTTATATAGTTATTGGCTGCTAATATGACTTATATATTTAGAATTTGCAAATATTTTTCCTGAATTTCTTTTATTAAGTAAAATGCCCAAGTGTATAAACGAATATTAAACTAACTTTACAAATAGCTAGTTGTGTTCGCGAAAACTTGACGCGAAGAAAACACTTAAGATATTAGCTCAGCAGCTACTCCTCATAACCTATAGCTAATATTTAATTTTACTGAGGTAAAGTTGGTTTTATACACGCATTTTCAGACATTCTCCTTAATAATATAATTTTATAAAGGTTTTATTTGCTAATCCCATATAGAGAACTCATTTTAGCAATGACTATCAAATATTGTTCACAATCAATTAAATATAGTGCTTATTTTGAAGTACTTTATGCTAATTCAGACCGAATATTCAAGGTAAAGTTGGTAAACAATATAGGAAGCGTTACATTAACAAATATAGAACCAACTTTACCTCAATTTACATATTTATGTAACTGCACTGAAGTGACCCGAGGCTGTTGTTTCACACTATCATAATCTTTGCAGGAACTACAAATGCATGCGAGAAAACATCCTTCGCTTTCCTCAGACAGGAGCTCCCAGTGAGAATGAGCAACAGTTTGAAGGAGATCAGCCTTTTACCAGACCAACTAATAGAGACTCAGTCTGTGCAGCTGGTGCACAGCTGGTAAGTTCGTGTGCTTTGGTTTCACACAAAACATACATTCATTCAAGTTCATTTATATAGCGAATTTACAATGTAGATTGTGTCAAAGCCGCCTAACATAGAAGTTCTATTAAGTTTAACTCGGTCAGTCCAGTTTTCAGAGTATTTTTCACTGCTGAAAGTCCAAAACTGAAGAGCAAATCCATCAATGCGCAGCTCCACAAGTCCCAAACTGCCTAAACATCAACTAATTTGTTTTAACAGCCTATATAAGAAGTGAAGTAGCTAAATCATGCGAATATGTTATCAAATACTTTGGTGAACATCATATTAACCCATTAAAAAGAGTTATTTTTCTCCTCGCGTGCATTATGTAACGACTCCCACGCCTTACTACTGTACAATGAACTTTGACCTACTTCCTCTCTGTCGGGTGTTTTCGACATAGTAACGCCACTCAGCAGTTTATAAACATTCAGCTTCATGCTGTACGCACCAAATCTTACATTTTGGAATAATCATCACAGTTATTGCTGTTAAACTGGACAATATAATAAATAATGTGTACTTTTCCTACGATATACGAAGCTTGGCTGTTTGGTTGTGATGTGTTTCGGTGGTGTGAAGTGTTTATCCAAATATATACTTTTAAAAATCGTTTATCCATTTGTATATTGCGTCCCTTTGTCTGTTACAGCGTGCTATACCATGACTTGTTTACCAGACTGCTCGAGGCTACTGTTATGCAACGGATACGGCGGTTAAACTTCAGAAAGTGAAATATGAGAAGGTGCACGTACATAGCGGCGGCGCGCATATGTGTTTTCGAGAACTGAGGGTGAACAGAACGTTCTGGTGGGCAGAACAACGAGGGGAATTCGTGGAAATCAGAAATCACTGAGGAAACAGTAATAGAGAGAGAATATATGATGTAATAGGATGTAATATTAAATATATTTATAATTAATTATTTATTAAAATATAACATAACATGCTTTTATAAATACCATAGTATCATTTACATGAAAAACTGCACATCTCTTGTGACGTATATTACTTATGTATTTTATGATAATACAATATCTGTAATATAAAATACTTGTGGGCTAAAATATAACTATTTCTAAGTGTTATTGTTATTATATTATTACTTTTCAATAAACCATTTCAGGGATGTTAACAAAAACAATGGTCCCAACGTATCTCCTGTTTTACATTTTTAATTTATAGCTTCCGAGAATCCAAAGAGCCACATATTGATAAATAATGTTATGATAGCTGTTTTAACATCAATTTATGATTAAATTGCCTCTCGTTTCAGTTATGAAATAGTTTGATAACAAGCAGAAAATGTTCATCGGCCAATGACATGACCACATTGAGATGGTCTTTACTATTATAGTTTTTATTATTATTTTGAATTGATATTGAATCTTACAATATTTGTTACATCTTAGTTTAAGTAATTTGGTTCTGTAGCTTTTTATTATCTTATTGTCAGTTTTAGTTGTAGTAAATATCCATTTCAACTTATATAAATATGTGAATCATGCAATATTTATTTAATCTCTGACATATTTTAATACCATAATTGATTTTTAATAGTTTATCACAAAAACTCTGGTGAGCACTTAAAGATGGCCAAACATACTTATAAGCAAGTGTTAAAACATTATGTCCGTATTATCAGACATTTGCATTGTAAATAAAATTAACTATATTAGCCATTTCGACACGATAGTCAGTGCGCCGACATATGGTGAGGCAGCGCTCCAGGCGTCCTGAGTTCAAAGCCCGGCTCGTGGAACTTTCCTGATCTTACCCCCCTCTCTCCCACTACACTTCCTATCAACCTACTACTGTCCAGTCAAATAAAAGGCAAAAATTCCCCAAAAAATCTTTTTTAAAAAACTATATAAGCCATTCATTCCTATTGACTTCTCTGTTACCCTCTCAGGTTTGTCCAAAGTCTGATGGACATCCTGGAATTCCAAGACAAGTGTCCTGATGATCCCAGAGTTCTCGCAGAGTAGGTTCTTCAATCTACTCACACCCAACACAACCATCTATCGTATTAAAGAAATATTGAACCATTATATTCATGTTGTTGTTTTAATCGTTTTCCCCCAGATTTGTGGAAACTCTGGTGACCATTAGGAACAGGCACAATGACGTGGTGCCAACCATGGCTCAGGGCGTCATCGAGTATAGAGACACGTTCGGGGCAGATCCTGTGACAAGTCAGAACATTCAGTACTTTCTGGACCGCTTTTACATGAGCCGTGTTTCCATTCGCATGCTCATCAACCAGCACAGTAAGTACACCTCTCGGCTCTTGTCCGTCATCCTAGATCAGGGGTGTCAAACTCAATCCCTGGAGGGCCGAAGCCCTGCACAGTTTAGTTCCAACCCTGCTCCAACACACTTACCTGTAGGTTTCAAACAAGCCTGAAGGACCCAATTAGTTTGATCAGGTGTGTTTAATTAGGGTTGAAACTAAACTGTGCAGAGCTGCGGCCCTTTTGGAACCGAGTTTGACACCTGTGTCCTAGATTGTGTAATACATGAGTGTGTGAAAATTGCATTATCACAGCTGCCTAAACTGTTTGATGCAAGTTAAAAAATGAGAGGAAACTACTGCACTCTTATCATAATCTGCACAAAAAAATAGTTTGTGAAGTTTTATATAACTTCAAAATAATAAGAATTGATCTGACTTTAGCTTTGTGAAATTATGCTACATTAAAACATACCTGTATTAATCAAAAACAGTAGACAAGCTGGAAAAAATCACTTTTTCCTGTAGGTGGTGCTAAAAATAGCAAGAAGACTTAATATTAAGAGCTATTCCAACGAAATCCCACTGCAATTCGTAACTTTTTGATTTAGTGGCTAATTCGTATGAATTCGTACAATCTAATTCGTACAATTTAGTACAATTTGCTCATCACCCAATGACGGTTGGGCTTAGGGGTGGGGTTGGGTGCCACGCCTCTTTTTTAAAATCGTACAATTTCGTAAGACTGAACTCGTATGAATTAGCCACTAAATTGACAAAACGTAAAATACTTAAGTTTCCTCGTGAGATCAGGCTGGCTATTCACATATTGTGTGTAAATGTAAAGAGTGCCAATTTTAACCATTAGCTGTGCCAGGGTTTCAAACGAAGACTTTTTCTGACCTTTTTAAGACCATTATGAAAAAAATTTCAGACTTATAGAAGAGTTTTTTAATATTATATTATAGTTCGTAATTTCTCAGCCAAATGTTTCAAATAAATTAGCTTGTATACATACACATTTCAATAAACATATCTTAAAATTTCTTTTTAAAAAGCTATAATAAGCTAAATGATTGCACAAGTCTGTCCAGGTCAGTGTCCTCACAATATATGGACTATAAATACACAGAGAACTTTAAAACAAATATTATTGTAAGGGCGATAATTGTAATATTGGATTGGATATTGGTGTATAATTGGATAATGACCATATTGGATTGTTGGTGATTACATGAGTGTTGGTAGCTTTACATGGACATAAAAAGATTAAGACCTGTTTACAAATATTTAAGACCTACAAGTCAAAATTTCAGTGGATTGAAGACATTTTAAGGCTTTTTTAAGACCCTGCGGACACCCTGTATGCTCTCCAAGGAACCACAATTGACAAACTCTTGCTGTAGCGCTGATACAAGTTACATTGGTAGAAATCATTCAAAATCGCCACAGAGTTTTGGTGATCTGCGTTTATCTGAAGTAATCAGCTGATCATTATTACTGAAATGTGTATAATCCATATAAGTTATGCAGCTGATTGATTGGTTCCACCATTTTGAAATGTTGACGGAAAAAGCAAGCACATTGCAGCACGTCTTAAAATGAAATAACAAACTTGAGTGCTCAAAAGGCGTGATATGCGAACAGCCGTTTATGCTAAATCTTTTCTGACTTCTTGAAACCTAAAACTCCAAGCTATCACCTAAACATGAGTTAATGTCAAAACTCTCCAAATGCAAAAGTATCATCCATACAATTTATTTAATGTTAAACAATTTACAGAATTGCAGACATATGACATAAACAAAGCTTAATATTTGTTAAATCTGTTAAAGTGAATGTAGAATATCTTTCGTTTCTGTTATCAATGGCCTCAGTTAATATTTCATTTACACACTTTCTGGTATAAAATTAATGCAATAAAATGTATGCGCTAGTCAGAGATCGGGTCGGTAAAAAAATAAATAAAAGATTTCTGATTTTCATCTCTAATGAGCACTACATGCTTTCTCAGTAAATGCACAGGTCATTAGATCTTGAATAATCCGGCCTGCTCTTGTTCAAGTTAATCATTCACTGGATACGAGAAAATGATTACCTGTAACCCTGTTATTCCTGCTGTATCTCCAGCTCTGATCTTTGATGGCTCCACAAATCCAGGACATCCCAGCAGCATCGGGTGCATTGACTCCTGCTGCGACGTCACAGACGTAATCAGAGGTGAGTGCAATCGAGTGTAATCGAGTATTTATGCAAATATTACCTTAGCGACAAGTGCAGACTCAGCGATGATGTCCCGTGTTCTGCTTCAGATGCCTATGAGAGCGCTAAAATGCTCTGTGAACAGAATTACCTCGGATCACCTGAGCTGGAGTTGAGAGAGATAAACGGTGAGGAACAGACATGTTCAAATACATCATCACTTATTAAGGGTTCGTTCAGACCAAATGAAAAAACGAACATTATTTAATTGTGTCATTCAAAATCTATTATTAATTTGTTCTTATTTGGAAACGCAAGTGAAGATATGCTTCAAATTAGAGAGGTTTCGGTCCATTGACACACAAAAAAAAACATTCAAAACGTTCATTACAGTTTTTCCCAATTGTTTACACACATTTTCTGAAAGCCTGTCTCATATTGTCAGAACTCTAAATACCAAAAAAGCACACCCACATTGGGCAAAACCCTTCAATTCTTCTGCATAATGAAACCCTACGTTAAAAACAATGTGATTTCTTCTCAAAATGGTGTTTTGTTTTCAAATGACACACACAAACCCTTACATGAATAGACATTTTTAATAACCATTTGATCACTGATGTGCTTAAAGGGCCATGACACCCCCCACTTTCGGTTAAAGTCTACTTCAGAATTTTTTCAAAAGATGCATGATTAATGGGCGTGGAGCTCCGCGAGCGTAGGGCAGGAGTGGGCGTGGCCAGCAGGGGAGAACGTGAGCAAACAACTGTTGATGTCAGTTAGCTCACAAAATGAGACAAACCGTGAGGAGACGCATGAGTTTATAGTTTACAAAGTTAAAATGCAAAGAAATGAACAGTGATTTAATGCCCTGCTACATTTGTTATTCGTAATTTCATATACACATAACCACAATTTATATCATTATAAAGATAAGTGTGTTCATGTAAACCCTTCTCCCTCAATCCCCGTATCCAGCAGACTCAGTGCAGCAGGTCTCCTGACCTGTCTATTTTAACCATTAGCCCTGCTGGTAATCTGGAGGATTTAGGCAAACACAGCACCACAGTGATGTGTCAGAATGTGAACGAACTCCTGATAAAAGACAGAGTCCACCATTCTCTAATTCTCGTGCTGCTCTCCCGACAAAAATGCTTGCAGCACACACACAGCTTTTTTGTATGATCGGCCCTGAAAAGATCGCAGGGGAAAACATGCAACAAACCCTGTGGATCATGGAAACAAACGCATATGAGCCTTCATGAACGGCTAAAAACTGCCTGCTTGGGTCCGTTTCTCACAGCTCGGGCTTGACTCTGGCAGGTCTCATGAATAATTAAGCAGCCGGCTCTTCTCATAGGATAAGAAAACTCCGCTATGAATAATAATGAGAAACCGACGCGTCATCATTGCACTTGCAGTGCTGCGATACGTCGCCGATTTTGATCCCGCCCCAAAAATCATTTTAAACCCGGAAGCTGAAATTAGCTGACAAAAGCTCAAAATTATCCAGTTTTCCCCACAATTACAACTGAAAGGTGCTAACATTATCTTAACTGATGCTCAACACACACAAATCTGTTAATATATATATATATAAAAAGTTCTCCAGTGTGTCCTGAACCTTTAATGTAAAACACCATGATCACATCTTCTCCATTCATCATAATGACTTACTGTAAGCCTTTTTTTGTTCAGTGTTACACTTACTACAGACAGTACATAGTCCTACATAAGTGCATTGAATGTTGTTTTCATGCAAAACACAAAAATGCACGGTACCAACGATATTTTACTCTATTCTTCCCACAAGTGTACACAGTGTTCATCCCAACCAAGACAAAGTTGCACTTAACAAGGTCAACATATACCATCAACAGAAGTATTTAAAGACAATAGTTACAGAAAAAAAAACAGCTATACTGCATCCTCTTTTCTGTTTTGGTCTGGCCAAGCAGTGGGGGAAATGTCACCTTGCATGGCGAATCCAGCCATGAAAAGCATCAACTGCAATTTGAGTGTCAAGCAGGATTTGTGCTTGTAGTTTAGCAGTGTTGGTTCAGGGGGTTGGTGCATTAGTTACATGTTGTAGTCATTGTGTCTGAAGTACAAGTAATTGTGTGTAAACAATTGGGAAAAACTGTAAGGGAGCGAAAAAGAGGCAAAAATTTACATGAAGTGAGTGATTTAGTACTTAAAAATGGATATGATAGATGTATATGGTCAACAGCATATATTTTTGTTCCATTTAAACCTCCATAAACGTCCCTCATTGGTCAGAAATACCCAAAGTGTTTTTTGTAGTGTGTAGAAATGTTTCTCTAAAAATATGCTTGTTCGTGTGCAGGTATTTATTATATATATATTTATTTAAATACTTTCTGAACAAATTTCAAGTGTTAAATTTTTGTAAAGAGATTTTTTTAATGCAAGTACAGATAGAAAAAAATACTAAGAAAAAAATAACATATATAAAAACATTTATATGGGGTTGTTCCGATCTTGGGATGGCACAAATTTTTGCTCATAAAGTATATTGAATTTAATATTGTAATTTCACAATATTTGCTCTTCTTTATTGTAGCAAAGAACAAATCAAAGCCAATTGAGATCTCCTATGTTCCATCTCATCTCTACCACATGGTTTTTGAGCTTTTCAAGGTAGGTGTGATGCTTGATTTGAACAATTTCTAGATTTTGTAGAATTACTGTTTGTTTAGAGACTATAAATATGTAATTCATATGTCTTTCCAACTCTAGAACGCAATGAGGGCTACTATTGAGAATCACGAAACAAGCAGCACACTGCCACCAATCAAAGTCATGGTAGCTCTAGGAGGAGAAGATCTGTCAATCAAGGTAAGTTAATAGTTAAATCTGCATTCATTTATTAAATGTCCTTTGGCTTAGTCTGATTTATCAGAGGTCGCCACAGCGGAATGAACTGCCAACTATATTTTACACAGCAAATGCCTTTCTAGCCACAACTAAGTACTGGAAAACACCCTTACACACTCATTCACACACACACACACACACACGCACGCACACACACATACACACACACCCACACCAATGGGTGCAATATGCTGTGAGGTGACAGTGCTAACCACTGAGCCACCTACAAAACGCTAATTACCGTATGAGGTCACACCGTCATTTTTAACCACCCGTAACTCCAATACATTGGCCTAGATCTGTTGATAACGTTATATAAATTGTCCCTAAGATTACTACTGTATCCACCCTTGATCAAACTTCAACTGAACTGGATCTTTCAGCTTTGATACAGCCGACCTTTGCCCTGCTGGTGGATAAACAGCGCAATAAAGCAGACTAAAATGCTATATTTATGCTGCTTAATAACAAATAGAGCCGTAATCGTAAGATTATATTGATCTTCTTACACTCCAACACAACGATCAATGCCTTCGTCACGGTCCTAAAAACATAAGCCACACATATTTCTCAGTTGTTTATTTTAATGCGGCCTACAAAATGCACTAAACATCGACTTGCTCTTGCTCCAGATCAGTGATAGAGGCGGTGGAGTTCCCTTCAGGAAGATCGAGAGACTTTTTAGCTACATGTATTCAACAGCACCCAGACCTACTATTGGTGACCATCAACGGACCCCAATGGTACGAGTCACTTTTTAACATGACAATAACAGCATGTAGGTTTTCTCATTTAAAACTGAACGTCTGTTATTCCCTCAGGCTGGCTTTGGTTATGGTCTTCCCATCTCCCGTCTGTACGCGCGCTACTTTCAAGGTGATCTCCAGCTTTATCCGATGGAGGGTTATGGCACGGATGCAGTGATTCAGCTAAAGGTAAGAAGATCTGAGTAATCATTCATTCACTCATACGCCAGACCCATATGACTTTTATGTAGTCTTGTAGAGAAACACAAAAGGAGCAGATATATTTTATTTACAATGGAAATTAGCTACGTCAACATTATGCTTATCTTCAGCTGTTTCCATCTATATAACATTAAAACTATTATTATATTATAATAACATGCATTTTTGGTTAAGTCAAGACGCACAACCATTTTCACCTAGTATTAAGATGCACTTGTGACCACTTGTGTTTGGATTTCATCAAGATCCTGTAAGTCGCAGATGGCAAACGAGTACTACTAAATGGACAAGTCCTAGTTATGTGGCTTACGAGCGAAAAGAGATTGCAAGCAAATAAAAAGGATGTGAATGGAAACTACTTTAAGGATTATATATATATTTTTGGACATTTTTTTGGTCTTTATTATGATAGGACAGTAGGGAGGATGGGATCAAGAAAGGTCAACAAGTTGGGACTTGAGCTCGGGACGCCCACAGCGCTATACATGTTGCGTACTGGCCGCTAGGCTCTAACGAAACTACGATTTTAGTTTTAATCTGTGTAATATTTGTGATCACAGAATAGCATAATACAGAATCTCAACAGAAGTAGTAGGTCTTCTGAGTACTTCTTGCCTAGTTTTTGAATACTGTGCATTCTGACAAACTACTGGGTAGCGAAATAGTAGTAGGGAAATTTGGACGTAGTTTGGACGGAACCTAGGTGTTTTATAAACTAATTTCGAGAGGAGCATGTGATATGACTGATCACAGCTGGTGTCACATAAATAATTATTGCTAGTCCAATCAGATGAATTCTAGCCTCCAATAAATAAACCCATTCCTCCTACCTTCCTTATCTTCGTTTTGAAGAATCCCCCATCCACCCCATTGCCTTCTTTCCTCCTTTACCAATGGGAGCTCTCGAGACTTACCAGATTTTGGACGCCCTTTTATGCTACATGGCCAGGCGGGAGCCCTGGGCCCAAGTATCTCCAAGCTCAGGGTTCTCTCTCGGGACAGCATGCCAAACCTGCTAATTGTATCAAGCAATAGTGTGAACTCTTGAATTTGGAAATGGTCAAAAGAGAAGAAGCTCAAAATGTTAGAAGACCCCATTTAAAACGGTGGTTAGTGTTTTCCACTTGTAATTGAAACAAAGTACAATGTGTAAACTGGACCTTGCCCTTATGCTCCAGTAAAGTCATATTGGTTTGGCACAATGAATATACAATAGCTGAGTTTCCATCCTAACATGAAGTGAATCTTTTCAAATGAATGATGATGATTGAGTTGACCTTGTGTTCAATATATTAGTTTAGTATTGTTTAGATATTCTAATGAGTCATGAAACCGCAGCATTCCAAACAAACTCCAGACGCACCTGATCACTGTTACTAGGGGCGGTTTCACCTGGGAAAAGTTATTGAAGGTCAGGCCAAATGAGGGGGGCAGAATCACGGTGGCAGGCCAAATGACTGTCAGGCCACCGGGAAATGTCCCGGTGCTCCCTATGGCCAGTCCGCCCCTGACTGTTACCCTGATGAAGGCAGTTGTTTGCCGAAACACGTAGGCACGTAGGTTTTAAGGAAAAGCCATGTCAATAGAGGCTTTTTAATACTTTTCCCACATTTTTGAGTGCTTTGGACTGATTTTTGCTGAATCTTTTCAAAGTTTGCAAGAAAAAAACTATTAGGTTTAATTCTATTAAGTTGTTAAAGAGGCTCACTGTAGTATTGGTAACCTAGCAACCAAACGTAAACAAGGCTTAATGGATTTATGTGGTGAAAATGGTGTAATAATGGTGTAATATTTATTATGTCAGAAACATTGACAACCATTTTTTCCTTGAGCCCATTTTCGAACATGTCCAAAACCACCTTAAGCAAAAGTAAAAATATTTTTGAGATTTTTAAATTTGCCGTTTCCTCACTCGTTTTAAAAATGTGGATTAATAAAGAACGACGAAAACCCAGCTACTAGGAGCGTTAGCATTTTTAGGTAAATTTCAAACAGACAGCAAGATGACAAATCATGAGTGTCTAGTGTACACTTACCCTAATTGCTGAGATAGAAACTGTTGTAACATCCTGTTAATCTCTGTAGTCTTCAAATCCTTAATCCCCATTCTTCTCTCTGCAGGCTCTGTCCACAGACTCAGTGGAGAAGCTTCCGGTGTTTAATAAGACCGCCTTGCGAAATTACAAAGTCAACCAGGAAGCCGATGACTGGTGCGTCCCGAGCAAAGAGCCGCTGAATGTAGCAGCATACAAGGCTGCAAAGTGAACCACAGGAGTCGCTTGCCTTTGACAAAGGCCTTGAGGAGTTCGTCCGCCATTGTGAATGCTTGCATTCCCTCATGAACTTGGGGACCAGTGATGGGATTTCCCAATACTCTTTGAGTACTGTTGTCCGGGAGCACTCGAAATGCATGAGGCCAGTATTTAAGATGCAAAACCGTAGATTCCTTAGTGTAAACTACTCACTGTGGTGCTGCTGAAGTGGATGTTTATCAGCAAAAGCTCAGGCGCATGTTTAGACCTGAAGAGATGAAAGATGGGTAGATGCATGTGAACGTAATGGAAGAAGAGTTAAGTCACAGAAAGCGGGGGGAGAGAATGGTATGAGCTGGAAACGAGTAAATTACCAAAGGCAGGAGAAATGCTAATGCTATCTCACGCCAATTTGTAACTTATTGAATTAGTGGCTAATTCGTATGATGTTGTTCGTACAATTTAGTATGATTTTCTCATCCCCCAATAATGTTTGGGTTAGGGGCGGGGTTTGGTGCCACGCCTCTTTTTAAAAATCGTACATTTTCTTATGCCTGAACTCGTACGAATTAGCCAATAAACCAACAAAAAGTAAAATAGTTATGTTTCCTTGTGAGATCAGGCTGGAAATGCAGGTGAAGTGTGAAAAAAACAAACAAACCCTGATGAATCGTCGAGTGTCAACTCAAAAAAAAGGGAGGCTATGGCCAAAGATGTTTTTTTTTTCCTCTTTAAAGAGGCTGGATGTTTTGAAATCATACTTGATCTGTGATTAATACTTGATATTTAAGCACACATGTAAGCATTTATTAATAACATTGTGCTGTTGTGTTTTATTTACATTATAAATGACCACACAATGTACAGTATATTCTAATGGCTGTTCACTTTGTTTTAAAGGACCCTTGTTGTTTTTGATGTAACTTAAATAAATCGTATTTCTCACCAAGATGAATGAGGGCTTGTTATTGCAACAATTTGAGGAAGTATTTCAGAGAGAGGCGTAATCACATGCCATTACATAACCAAGAACACGATGTGCACAATGAATACAAGATGCTCCCATACAACAGTGTTTCCCAATTTTGTTCCTAGAACACCAGATTCAGCATGTTAATACAAGACCAGAAATGAAAAGGGAGACAATCAAAACATGGATTGTTTGTCCACCTGTGTCTGAAGACACATTAGCAGGCTAGCTACTTAAATTTTAACTTTCTATCTTGGGGCCTGTACCATGAAGCTGGATTAGCTAGCTAGCCAGTTGTATTGTTTCAGTTTAGGTAGCTAAAAGTAGTTGCTTCATCATACCATGGCAGCAAAGAGTGCTTAACATTAAGCTGCCATCATGTTACCTAAAACCTAAGATTGCTACAAACTGAAATGATACAACTGGCTAGCAAGCTAATCCAGCTCCATGATATAGGCCGCAGGACAAAAGTGTAATATATATAGGCAGTATGCTCTTCATTTTAATGTAAAACTTGAATGTGCAAGGCTATTTATTTTAGCTGTAGTCCATTATAGCAGTGTTTCCTAACCCTGTACCTGGAGGCACAGCAACAGTACATATTTTGGATGTCTCCCTTATCTGAACCATTTATTTCAGGTTTTGGAGCTCTTCTAATGTCCTGATGAGTTGATTCAGGTGTGTTTTAATAGAAAGAGGTTAAAAATGTGTACTTATGGTGTGCCTTCAGCAACAGGGTAGGAAAACACTGCATTATAATGATATAAAATTATATTTTTTGTTGTATTATTTCACTACTCTGTACATGTTTTTACTGTATATATATATATATATATATATATATATATATATATATATATATATATATATATATATATATGGTTTCATGTAGTTCAATTTTTTGTTGTATATAAGGTATGCGTTTTTTTTTTCTTCTTTCTTTTGTATAACCAATGCATAGTTTAGTGCAAATACCACGTGGAAACTACAGTACTTTAACAAAACAATCAACATGATATATTTTTAATATATCAACACCCATGGAAAAGTAGAAAGAAATCTGAAGGAATACAGGGTTTCTACAGGTGTCACTAAGTCAAATTTAAGTCTTTTTAAGACCATTTTGAACATAATCTCAGACTTTTCTTTGCCACAAATTTAAAGAAATTTTTAAAACAAGCAAACCAATGCTTACACATTTTTTTTAACATACTATAACTTTAAAAAGCTACAATAAACTAAATTATTGCACAACAGTCAGTCCAGCTCAGTGTCCTCAACATATATGGACTATAAATAAACAGGGACATTTTTAACAAATATTATAGTAAGGATGAAAATTAAACCATAGTTTTGTTCTAAAGTATGAAAACATTTTAAGACTTTTCAAGACCCCAGGGACACCCTGGATTATAATAATACATACATATTATATGGTATTAAAGTGACTTAGTCTGCTACATTTTTTCCCCATAAGCATGTTAACATTGATGAAATAACAACATATATATATATATATATTAAAAAAAAAAGAAGATTCTAATGGTTTCCACTACAAATACCATTAAACCCATCTGACTTTAGCCATCAAAAACTAGTAGGCTATATTTTTATGGGACCATATAAGGATTTATTGGTTACAACATGGCACAAATAGAAGGCAAAATTACAAAATACAGTTTCTATTAAAACCAAAATAACTTCCATTATGCCATTACAACCAGGGTGCAAATTATTCATTGACAACCGATGGGGGAGGGTCATGTCAAGTTTTACGATTATGTTCAATGCCCTAGTGAAACAAATTTTTATGTTAAATTCAATTACACCTAATTTACATGTTACACAAGCAAAAAACTTGTTTACAAATCTTGCATACAAACTTTGCATCTAGTTTTACGGACACAAGAAACTTATAGGCTCGACGCCAGTAAAAATCGCACGGGTTTAAATCCGGAAAAAAGTTTTGAAAAACGCTGACGATAACACAACTGAAAAGCGTCCCGGTGTGTTCAATTAAGCCTTTACGCTGTCTGTTGGTGCTCTAGGTTTGCCAGTTTCAAACCGCTGAATTAATATTTTTGGCGTAAACATGCATTCACAATCGTATGAACCATTGCAGGGGTGCTCAAATGTACATTTACGTGATCTATTATTTCAATTATTGATATTATTTAAGACACACAACAGAGCCAACTATTTCTTAACTATTAAAGGACAGACCCTCCACATGCATGTTGTTTTGATGTCCTTCAGGGGGAATAAAACGTTAATTAGGGGGGTTTGTTCCCCCACTAATTCGCACCTTCATAACGTCTGATGGTTCTACTGTAATGGAAAGAGCCTACATATTGAGCCAACGTACACAAATGCAGTGTGGCCTACGTGCTTAGTCTGACCTGAGTTGTTTATGAACTATGATTAAGCTGATACAGTAAAACGGTGTCCTCATTTATGTACATTCTTCCTTAATCATTAAATCAGGACGGGACGTCAGAGGACACGACCTGAACTCATCCATGCGTGCGAATTACGAAACGCTAAAATCCAGCAAGCAGAACAGGACAAAGTCGCTGAGACCTTGTTTTGTATGACAAGGAGAGACCAATCAGATAAAAAAACAGGGTTAGCTTGCTTTCCAAAGACTTTGGCTTGCGTTTGGATTAGTTGGCACATTTATTGTGACTTGAGTGGTAACCAGTCTATGGTGGTTACTAGATTTCTAAATCAGTTCTTAATAAAACTAACGTTATAGGAGTTAAAAAATAAAAAAACGGGGTAATAACATAAACTTTGCATGATCAGTTCATCAATACTTAAGTGATGTGAAATACTGAATGATTATTTCATAAAGACTGGACCGCATTATGAAAAACTGACTCGCTGCTGTCTGCTGCCCTCTATTGTGTGTAAGTGGAACTACCAGATACACCAAAAACTACGACAAAAGCTAGTCTATACCAGGGGTCACAAACCTTTTTAAAACTGAGAGCTACTTCTTGAATAGGGCTACTAGTTTGATACACACTTCTCAAATAACAAATATGCTCAATTTACTTTTAATTATATATTATTGATACTCCTCTATGTGAAGACACTGATCATGTTAATGATTTCTCACAACAGTTGTCAACAATGATTTAACAAGGCAGGAAACAGATACATATCAATATATGCAACACTTTATTTCTATAAACCTCTGCAAGTATTTTACATTTTCAAATGATAATTTTTACAATATTTTCCGTAGCCACTTACATTTTTTAAGAAATCATGCACTACGGTGTACCATATTTGTGCAGATTATCAACTGTGTAACATAAATGAGCTTTCAGATTTTACTGAAGTTATCAAACAATTACCAAATCTACAGCATTTTTAACATAGCCGGCACTCTTGTGATCCTCGCAGGTGACCTGATGCCCCGCAGGCACCTTGTTGGTGACCCCTATATACATTACATATACTGTTTATAAATATTGGACAGCAATGTTTCCGCTACAATAATTTTCAATTTTATTTGTTTTATATAACATTTATTTCTTTTTAAAATCATTGTTTACTCCTCACATTACTCGCTAATGTTTCTTTGCATCTTAAACTCTTGCTGAATACTTTTGTACCTCACAAAAATAAGACTTCTGTTTTAAAATCGGTACCCTTTAAACTACAGAGACAACATGTACAGTTTACAAAGACAAAACAAAACACAACAAGTAGTTTAGCAATAGCATACAGAAACATGTGCTAAACATAGCCTAACGAACGTTGTGCTAAAATGCTAAAAACATATAGCCTATAGGCTACCTCATGGTTGTGACAAATCAGACTCAAGCTAGTTTATGGTTTAACATAAGATTCAAGCAGTTAATGAAATAACTCGCTCATCCTAGTGTAAAAAATAACTAAATTAGGAACAAATATACCCTGTTAGATTTATAAAATACAGTTAAATGCATTTTGACTGCAGTTAGACATTTTAAACCCTGAGACAATCTAAACACAATGTGTAATGTATTATTAATGATCAGTGAAGGTGATGAAGATGATGATCAAGAGGATGCCGGTTTCTCACAGATCCATGGCAAAGACATGTGGCAGGGTGCATCATACCAGCTCTTTATAGCCACACGGGTCAAAACATCAGTCTTTATCATGTAGCCACAGTCTTCATCAATATGGTTATTGGGCTCGCCGTCTTCCCAGAAACTATGGACAAAAAAGATGGTCTTACTAAAGGTACAGTAAATATTCACTATAAGATCTTTGTTATTTGCAGTTTTGAATAGTTTTGCATACAGACAATAATGCTGTCAATAAGATGCCTGTTTGCACAAATCCAAAAATATACAGTATTTACCCTGCTGAAAAATCCAGCTTAAACCAGTCTAGGCTGGTTGGCTGGTTTTAGCTGGTCAACCAGGCTGGTTTTAGAGGGGTTTTGGCCATTTCCAGGCTGGTTTCCAGCCATTTTCAGCCTGGTCTTAGCTGGTTAGGCTGGGAGATTACCAGCTTAAACCAGCTTGACTAGCCTAGCAGGCTGGGAGCCCAGCCAAAACCAGCTATGTCCAGCTTAAACCAGGCTGGTCAAGCTGGTTTTAGCTGGATTTAGCTGGTCATTTTCCAGCCTGACCAGCTAAGACCAGGCTGGAAATGGCTGGAAACCAGCCTGGAAGTGGCCAAAACCCCTCTAAAACCAGCCTGGTTGACCAGCTAAAACCAGCCAACCAGCCTAGGCTGGTTTAAGCTGGATTTTTTAGCAGGGTAGTCAGTCAGACAACTAGTTTTCTAATGATGTCCGTCTTTGAACATGTATGAGCATAATAATTCTTATTTTATAATTAAATTTCCTCCCTTCAGGTTTTTTTTGCACACAAAATAGATGTTGCCGATGTTTGGAATTTATAATTAACCAGACTGTGATAAAAACTTACTTGAAATGCGTCAAATAAGCACAAAATAAAATGTGGATGCGTTATTATTGTACATATGAACAGTTTTCTGAAATATTCCCTCTTTTATAATTATATATTCATGATGTGAACTATCAATTTCTGATTCCTAAGCACTCAGATTAATAGAAATCAGATTGTATTAATTAAAAAGCATGAAGGAGATATAAATAAAAATGTTTGTAAGCAAAATCTAATTTTTCAAATGAAGTGGGAAGTGGAACAGATGATTCAGTGCATAACCATAAGACAATGTGATCATATTGAGAAGTTAAAAATACGATTCAGCAGTTTTAACTGGTCTTGCTCATGTGAGGTTCATCATAGAGGATCTGTAGTGATCTGAGAGCAAAAGCTGTTATTCTTACCCTCCCACCAGTTTGGTTCCGTCCACCCAGTGCCAGTCGTCTTCTACTTTTTCATCACTAATGCCAAACCAGAAAGCGTTCCAGTATCCGCGGGGCAGTAGGTCCCATATGAATGTCTTTATCAGGGTCAGAAAAGGTCAAATATTTCAACTGAGAACACTTCCTCTATTGAATATTGCAGGACAGAATGTTAATGTTCTCCTTAAAAACCCACATAGAAAGTCTAAATCACACATGAGCAATATCACACGAGTAGCAGTGCGATATGGTATATCAGCACTGGTGGGAGGCCTGTGTTGGTACGAGGCTGCAGGCCCACCAGTGCTAATATACAGCCATATCGCACTGCTACTCGTGTGATATTGTGTTTATACAACAGTTGGACGGCATAATCGTGTATATAAAAAAGAGAATCAAACACGGAGAGTCTAAAAACCCCTTTATATTAGGAACTACTTTCCTCTGCCATTCATTCAAATCTGCAGTTGACGTCAAAACAGCAGAAGCCGTTACTAATTCACTAACGTCACTTTAGAGCTAGTGTTTGAATGATCCTCTAGGGTAATGTCTAAAATGATGACAATACAGCTGACACACAGATGACATACAGCTGATTTGGCTCACGTTTTAAGATTATAAGGCTACAGTCTACAGTATTTCTCTGTTGCAATTGGGATATCACAATAATTAACCCTGAAAAAAGCAGCACAATCACCAGACTGATGTCGTGTGATTGTGGGTGTTTTCCTGGAGAAATAACAATACGGGAGGGTTGCGGGAGATTGGTCTGAAATACGGGAGACTCCTGGGAAAAAGTGTTTGCAGGTATGCGTAGCAGTTTAATAGTGATTTGATCCGCTGTAGTTAGATATTAGGCTGTTTTAATCTCCTAAGAACTTATTATGCAGTCATGTCGCCATCTTGTGTATAAACAACGTCAACTATCTTTGGTCAGCTCAGTATGGCAGGCTGAATATTTAAAATAAGCACTATTCCTATAAATAAACTGCATAGTTGCAATCTAAACAACTACATTCTAGTTGTTTAGGGGGGTTGTTGTTGGTTGTTGTGGGCAGAGTAATACAGGCTGTTATTGCAAAATATTGCACTGCCATCAGCCAATCAGACTCAAGAACCAGACCAAACTGTTGTATAAATTGTATATATATATATATATATATATATATATATATATATATATATATATATATATATATATATATATATATATATATATACATACATACATACATACATACATACATACATACAACAACTGTCTGGTTCTCGAAACTGATTGGCTGATAACCGTGATATATTTAAGTAATATCAGCACCCTTACAGCCTCTTTACCCTTTGTGTATTACTCCGCCCACATACAACCAACAAAAAGCAGACACTACAGATCAAAGCTTAAAGATGCTTGTTCAACTGTTTAACTGTCAGCTTATGATTCGAATCCAACGCAGAAGAAAGTAGTTCCTCATACAAAAGAGTTTTTAAGACTCTCCATGTTTGATTTTGTTTTTATATACACACTTATGCCGTCAAACTGTAATATAAACGCAATATCTCGTAGCACAAACACTCGTAGCAGTGCGATATGGCTGTATATCGGCACTGGTGGGGCCACTAATGCACGCCTCCCACCAGTGCGATATATAGCCATATCGCACTGCTACTCGTGTGATATATATATAATATATATATATATATTACTAAATATACCAAATATTACTCATATCTACTGGTTAAAAAAACCAATGTTGCTCAATGGCATTTAAAACTGATCAGGTCCTCACTTGTTCCTCAGCTGTGAGGATGATGGCCAGGTGTCCTCCGTATCTCTTGCAGTACGTCTGACTGTCTGTCCAGCTCCTGGTGGTCACTGAGATGAAGTAGCAGCTGCCATTAAAATGCTTCCAGTTTTGAGGACAAGGACTTGTGGTCGGCGCTGGAGTGGTTCGGGGTGCAGGAGTCACCTCTAAAAAGACCCAAACACGTTCATATTATGAAACGCAACAGATATTGTCTGCATCCAAAATCAACCCTCATTCCCGATCCCCTGCATTAGCATTCAAATTCGAGCACTGAATGCACTGGAAAAAGTGTGTTTTGTTTGTGTTTTGCTGCTTGATAAATCCCTCAGATGTATTAGGTTTGCAACCTCTGGGTCAGAGGAACATTTAGCGAGCTGTCTGTATGTAATAAAACAAAGTATTTTGATTTCTAAATGTTTAATTTTACATTCAAAAGGCGCCTATCATGCAAAATCTACTTTAAGAGGCTGTTTGTACAGAAATGTGTGTAGGTATTAGGGTTGTTGCCATACTGGAATTCGATATCAATAAGAGCTTCACACAAATCATGAAGAATTTTTTTTTTTAATTCTGAGGTACACTTGAACCGAAAGAGGAGGGTTTCATGACCCTATAAGATACAGCTATTGTTTGTTGCTAACACAAACGCATGTGATTGCACTTTACTAACCACACTTAGTGACTTTATCCTTGAGCTGCAACAGCTCTTTCTGTAGTTCACTCTTCTCTTTCTCCAGTTCACTCTTCCTTTTCTCCAGTTCACTCTTCTTTTTCTCCAGTTCACTTTTCTCTTTCTCTAGTTCCCTCTTCTTTTTCTCCAGTTCACTCTTGTCTTTCTCCAGTTCACTCTTCTCTCTCTTGGCCGTCTGCAGCTCAGTGGTCAGAGCTGTTACATTAATGGAGCCTGTCTGCTGGTGTGCTGCAGCAGCACTGGAGGAGGAATCCTGACCTGATGAACTGGTCTTGCCTTGAACAGAAGAGGAAGAGTAAAGCAGATGTGCGTAAACAGACATGTGAGAGATATAAAGAAATGAGGACCGGAAGATCATGAGTTTGCAATTGCAATCATATTGTTGCAATTGGCTTACACAAGAAAGGAAGTCAAAATTTTTAGCCGTCCTGTGAATTTTATATTTTTTTTATTTCGGCTGTGGGGGAAACCAGAGCACCCGGAAGAAACCCACGCCAACATGGGGAGAACAAAACTCCACACAGAAATGCCAACTGGCCCAGCCAGGACTCAAACCAGCAACCTTCTTGTTGTGAGGCAATAATGAGCCAAATAAATTAAATGTAAAATATTTAAATAAAAAATTTAAATATTAAAATAAATTGTTAAATCAAAATTAGGTCAAATCGACAGCTGTGAATCAAAATCGAATCAAACCTGCAAATATATGTAATTTGCATCTGCCCTATACTTGTTGTTGATTGTTAACCACAATCTAAATTACAGAAGCTTTATGAGTGAAAAAGCAGAAGTACCAGCGTGAAGACCTGTGACCACCAGGACCAAGAGCAAAATCAGGCAGAAGGCAGTCAGACACGCTGTTGCCACCTTGAAGGGTTCTTGGCAAAACCTCTTTCTATGTTTTCCTGGATTCTGAAACACTGAAGACACAAAAACACAGTTAAAGTTAGTATTCAAATATTTCCCAAATGATGTTTAACAGAGCAAATAAGTTTTTACAGTATGTCTGATAATATTTTTTCTTCTGGAGAAAGTCTTATTTGTTTTATTTCAGCTAGAATAAAAGCAGATCTTATTTTTTTAAAACTATTTTAAGGTCAATATTATTAGCCCCCTTAAGCAATATTTTTTTAATCACCTACAGAACAAACTATTGTTATACAATAACTTGTCTTATTAACCTAGTTTAAGCTTTTAAATGTCACTTTAAGCTGAAAAATATCTAGTGAAATATTATTTACTGTCATCACGGCAAAGATAAAATAAATCAATTATTAGAAATTAGCTATTAAAACTATTATGTTTAGAATTGTGTTGAAAAAAATCTTCATGTTAAACAGAAATTGGCGAAATAAATATACAGGGTGGCTAATATTTCAGACTTCAACTCTATATACAGGGCTCAGTAATTGAGTGCACCCCATTTTGAAGATGAATATTTTTATCCATTTCTCAGTGAATATAGGCAATGTATTTTGGTGCATTTAAACAAAACAGATTTATTAAACAGATATTTATGAAAATAACATTTTAGTCACCAAACATGTTTACAAATTGAAAGATAATACAATTAAATTCAAGCAAAATATAGCAAAAATAAATTACAACTTACCAAATTTCAACCATTTTTTTCTATTTTTTTGCTTCTCTTAATTTTTCTTCTTTTTTAAAACTTCTAATAAATATTTTTCTATAACATGTACTAGTTTTGGACCGTTGTCATAAATTATTTTGTTAGATAAGCTCCAGATTTGGTTTCAGTACTGACTAATCTAATGAGTAAAATATAATATTGTAGAGCTTCCTATTAAAAATGACAGTCATATAAAAATGACTCACGTTTCCACAATGGTAAACAAAGATTGCATAACATTTCTTTGACATGGAATCGAAACTTTTTAAACAGCTTTGATGAGCGAATCATTTACAGCGTTTGGTCAGGATAACTCAAACCCTGAGAGTATTGATCTGTGCTTTATCCAGTTATGCTGAATGGCTGACAAGCTGGACTTTCAAGGCTTAAATCTCCACAAAAATGTGACCAACTGGACATTTATGGAGCATCCCAGATATAAAGACTGTCAAAAAATGTAATGAATGTTCACTTTTTGAAAATTCTCAGCTTCTCTTATTTTTTTTTAACTATGGGATTAATATCTGTTTAATTCAGTAAATGTTTTGGTATATTCTGTAAATATATTAAATTTGTAATTTTAAGTAAAAATACTGTGATTTAGAGCTTTTTTTTTTTTTTTTGTAGAAAACTAGTCGTAATAACAATTGTTTTTTGTTGTTGTTGTTGTTATGACCAAGCGGCAACCTCCCGCTCTCCTTCGTGAAGCAAATAAGTAACTGAAACTGCAATTCATCGAAATTCCGCTGGTCCTGGTTCCATTATAGAGCAAATACCTATTGACCCCACTGTTAAAATGGCCAACATTGCAGCAGAAAAAAAGGGGTTTACAGCCTGGTACACCGAACAATTTTGTTGCATATAGCTAATATTACCCTTCATGACAACTGTAAGCAGGTACATTTTTTATAACTCATTTGTTTCATTTATATTAAGTTATATTAAGTCTGCATAATTAAGGGCGTGGCCCCTTCAGTAACAGCTAGGTCTTGCTGGTCGCAGTCACTTCACCTCAGCTGATTCCAGCTGATTAGATGCTGAACTCAGCATATACATTGTTATACATATACATATTTTTGTTTTATGTGGTTTTATACAGTCATTTGCCTTTTGGAATTATTTCTTACTATTATCAGATGATATGGGTTGCTGTGTGCACTTATTTGTGCTCACGAACCATTCACGCGGCCTCCATTTCCCAGGTGAGTGAAATTATATACTTATATACCATCTCTATAAATGTATTTGTTTTAATTAAGATCATTTATAATTTTCTTTAGACCTGTAATGCACTCCAGAATCTGACAGATTGATTAACTTAGCTGTATGCTTTACAATGGTCATCTGAAATTCTGTCTTACGGTGTTATGCCTAGATTTCATAAATAGCCTTGCATTTACTAACACAGACTGTATTTTAAGTGTTTGGAAGTAATTTCTTCCTGTAGAAAAACGTCATAAGAACAATGCTTAGTGGCTCAATGTATTACAACAACTTCCCAGGTACTGCAGATTGCAATGTCCCGAATTTTGCTTGCCAATCTTAAGCCAATTTTAATGGTGAGTTTTGGTTTTATTTGTAATTTCCCCAACAAATCGCAGAACCCAGGGGACCAAAGGGAGTGCTCCGACTTACAGCTTCTTTTGCGTTCTTCAGAAACCTATGGGTGTCGTCACGAATACTACGTCCATATCTTTTACAGTACTGGTTGCGACTGAAAAATCAGGGTTATTCCATATTGACTTGAAATATTGATTTCTTAACTCTTGTGAAGTTTTGTGTCGTCGAAAAATCTATATAAACATATGAAAACAAGGCAGCTTTTTTGTTATTTACTAATTGCAAATTTATGCAAAAATGTTAATGTTAAATCTTACTTATTTTTCTTAGAATAAAGTAAACCATACACTGTAAAAAATCCTGGTTGCCTTAAATTTTTAAGTTGAATCAAATTAACCTTATGAGTCCACTGAACTTATATTATGTTAAACTGACTTAAAACAGCTTGCGTAACTTATAAAATTAAGTTAAGCATGATTAAATTAGTTTAATAAGTTGCAATGACCTAAAACATGTGCTGTTAGGACGTATTGATCATATAATTGTTTGCAGTGTACTTGTTTATAAGTTACTTGATCAGATTTCAATAATATAAAATTGTAAGATATTTTAATTAAATCAGAAACATATAGACAATTTATTTAATGTATTTTCTTCTTTACTTTTTCATGATTTGTTTACAACTGGTGTGAAGAAAAATACATATAAACAATAGTTAAAGTAAACGTTCGATTAAAATTATGGTTACACGCATGTTTACTCAAATTGTCTTACCTGAATATCGCAGCTCTGCACCGCTGTAGTCATCATCGGGTCCGTCAATGAGATTGTTGTGGATTTCTTCTCTGTATGCAGACATTGCTCACGTTTGCACATGCACACTAACACAAACATGAAGCGCACTCTGACCACCGCAGAGGTTGCTCAACTGCAGGGCTGTTTTTAATCAAGCCTGTGGTGGATGTGGATTGGTCGACATTGTAGATCTCATGACAGAGATCCAGATGTTTGCACAGTCAGGAAACATCACGAGCAATTTCCTAAAAGTGCTGTTACGTGAACAAGCTATAAGTCACTTCGCTATAATTATTATTTGATTTCACTTCTTGTAACCCTTTAGCCTTATCCTGGGTTTCTGTAACTATACCATGAGCGGGAAAGTTCATGACTGAAGCCTTCATATTGCTCAATTTTTGGTTGGTGATTTTTTTATCTTCACTGATTTTATGGTTGCCAGTACTAGTTTCCTTAATCCTAAGTACTTATTTAAGACGACCTATTTTGCAAAAATCACTTTTTATAAGGGGTTTAAACACAGTTTTGTGGCAACGGTCTCTAATGGGAAAATTAATTAAATGTTTTAGGCAAGGCAAGGCAAGTTTATTTAGATAGCACATTTCATACACAGTGGCAATTCAAAGTGCTTTACATAAACAGGAATAAAGACAAGTTTAGGAACATAAAATTCAGACCATAAAAATTATTAAAAACAGACAAAAACAAAATAAAATGAGTTAAAATAGGTTTTAAAAGAATGAAAAAGAAAACGAAGAGAATCACACTTGATAAAGCAGTCTGCAAAAACACTATGATTGACATTCTCCCTTTGAAGATGTCATCAGAAGAAGAAAACCCCGCCGATTAGTGACCATCTCTCCCTCATTAGCAAAACAGCCCTGAGTAAGAAGCAGTCGTCCGCCATTAGAGTTTTCAAACCATACCTGCTAAAGATACTTTCAGTGTCTAACAGGATTATAAATGTGGAGTTTTAGGATTCACAAATGAACATTACTCTTCAAAGACTGCCTTTTTCTGGGCCACTTCTTATGACATTTTCAGTTTTTTTACAGAGATAATGGGCTGTATTTGAATGATCTTGGCACAAAACTTAAAGCGCATGGCGTAAAAGCATTAAGGTCGTGTCTGAGTCTACTTGCTGTTTTAAGGACGGAAAAATATGCTCTGCGCACCGGCGCATGGTCTAACAGGGTTGTGCTTATTTTATTAATGAGTTATGGGTGTGTTTTGAACATAAAGTGCAATAAACTAATCAGAGTCTCATCTCCCATTCCCTTCAAGAGTCAGTTGTGTCACACCTTTTTTAAGAGAAAAAAAACTGCACACTTCTCTAGTGAGAAAACATTTAAACAAACCATCTGCAGGGCAAGGATAAAGAATGAGCCTCCTCCATTTGGCCTCTTTACTTGTTCTTTCTCTTTACTCCTTTACTTTAGTGGAGTAAGGAAAGGGTGTAAACTCACTCCACTGAAGACATCCATTACCCTGCATATTTAATTTAGTTTGTAATTCAGTTATTATTTCCAGCAAACGAATAAATGAACAATAATAATGAAGTGTGGTCAAAAAACTGAGTTATATCCAAACACACATCCTAATCTTATGCCCTATATAGTGAGGCAGAAGTCTCCAAAACCCGACAGGTGGACAAATCTAAACTTGTTTTTATTAAAACCAATATAAATATGCATATAATAAATAATACTGCTAATAATAATAACATTAGACAAATGCTAATTTTCATGAACAAATGGAAAAAAGCCCCCACGGTGAAGAAGGCATGGAGGCAGTGTTTTTTATATTTATGTAGTAAATAATGATTTTTGTAACATTTTAATCCTTTATTTTTTTATATGTAAATATATTTGCATATTGATGTACATCCAGTTTGTCTTAAGGAATTAGTGTTAGTGTTTCAGACCTGCATAGGCACATCATAACACGCTCTGTGCTGGACTTTAGAGCACCTTTTAGTTGGTCCATGGCGCAGTCTATTTTAGTTCCTCAAAACAGGAGGCGCCTTAACACATCCTACCCTTTTTAGACCGGCACACACGAGTCCACAAAGTAGCGCATATGAATTTGCTATTTAAACAACATGGCGCAAAACATGAAAATTAGGGTTGCGCTGATCTGACAATAGCAACAAATTGCGCCAAACACATTTTGCACCTTATTGCGCTGGATGTACGATAGGGCCCAAATTTAGTCTTGGTTTGAATCTGCCACTATGCTCATTCATAGGTGTTTGTAGCTCCACCTTTTTATTAAAAAGAGCAAAATCTCATTTAAATTTAAAGTGACAGTCACCAAAATTACAGAACTTGGGTCAAAGCCTTAAAGTCGCCATGGGTAATTTCCTAATTTATTTCATAATTTTTAAATCTAAACAGAACATATAACTTTGAAACATATTAACTAATGCAGTAAAACATTTGAAATGATAACTTATTGCAATTAAAACATAAACAATCATATTTACAACACAGCGAAGTTCAATGCGGCATACACTAGTCATACCGAATCTGCCCTTGCCTTGATTCCCTTACTAAAGTCTCTGCATTGTCCTCCATCCGTCAGGTGACAGTATGTACATTTTAAACTGAATTAAGGCACTTAGATTAAAACATTTAAGTTCAGCAAGCCTTTTTTGTAGCCTTTACAGTTAAACAAACAAATAAAAGGTTACATTAAATTTGAAATTACAATGTCTATCGCCATCATTATACCTTTCTTCTCTGATGGGATGACGGACCAAGTCAGAGGTTACCATGAGCCAATTTTGGCCTGCGGACCCTAGCTTAGGCATCTCTGGATTACATCAATAAGGATTCACGTATTAAAGTAAACCGGGTTCTATTGGACTCCCGCTAAACACAACAAACATAGCTATAACACAGCTTCACCACTAGATGGAGGCATATGCATGATTCAGGATAACCAAATAGTACAGTTGAAGTGAAATTATTAGCCCCCCCTTTTTATTTTTTCCCCAATTTCTGTTTGACGGAGAGACTTTATTTCAACACATTTCTAATCATAATAGTTTTAATAACTCATCTATAATAACTGATTTATTTTATCTTTGCCATGATGACAGTAAATACTATTTTACTAGATATATAAAATTATTACTAGATAATTTTGACCTTAAAATGTTTTTAAAAAAAATTAAAAACTGCTTTTATTCAAGCCGAAATAAAACCAATAAGAATTTCTCCAGAAGAAAAAATATAATCAGACATAATGTGAAAAATTCCTTGCTCTGTTAAACATCATTTGGGAAATATTTTAAAAAGAAAAAATAATTCAAAGGGGGGCGAATAATTCTCACTTCAACTGTATGTAAGCCCAAAACTTGTTAAAATGCCATAAAATATCTCCAACTTAAAAGATGAACACAAAAACATAAAGAATCTCTTGTAGTTATATTAGTAATTTTAAAATAATATAGTAAAACAGACCAAACTGACCAGATTAAAGATATATTCTGTCATTTTTCCGCCAGAGGACACAAACAAACACACAAATTGTAATGAAACTTTCATATAGAGCAGCGAGTTTACTGTTGAGCCCAGCTCAAGTTCCAAACAGGAAAAATAAATCTTACAACTTGTTTTGTTGTATGATCTGAATATGCTTTATGTAGGAAACAGTCATAAGAAAATTGTCCCATTAGCAAAATATCATATACAGTATATGCATAGCTGTTAATAAAAACATCAACAATCACATTTAGAGTGATTTTGTAATATCTTTAAAGCTTTAGGAATATGACATTGTCATTTCAGTGTCTTGTACTGATTTTAAAATAAAATATAGAAGTTTTAAAAATCTAATAATAAATAAAATCACAATTGTATTTTGGTTATAAAGCTGTTGAATGAGCATGTTTGCTGCCGATATCACTTTGTTGCGTTTGACCCTGGTTAAAGTTTGCAGAAATATGAAAGATGGAGTGTATTTAGGCTCGAGAATGAGAGGAGGTGATATCTCCGGAATTCATAAACACTGTTAGTCCTCATATCAGAGCCTTTCCATCTGAAGGACACACTGAGATTCAAAAAATCCGACCATTATCGTCATTATGACGGAGTTTGTGTGTGTGTGTTTTCATTAGGAGAAGACGGCTAGGCACCAAAGTGTTCTCAGAAGATAGCTGATGAAGATACTGTAACTGAAAAGCATCATAAATTATGATAAAAGAAAGTTTAGATATGAAAATGATGTGGTCAGAATTTAGAAGAGTCAATGTACAAAACATTATATTTAGATTTTGATGAAATGTTTGCCATTAATCACTATTTATATAACTATTACTATAGGCCTGTCACAATAATCAATATATCGACTTATCGCAGAACACATGGACATGATTTTAATCATTTTTGGTGATGCAATATATATCGCCCATACATAAAAACCAATACTAGCACCATTTCAGCTAATTATGCAACATCTCTATCTCCACTGAAGGTGTTAGTTTAGTTAAAACGCTATAGTATTTACTATAAATTACTTTTGAGTAACTAGAAGTTACTTTTTATCATGCACTTTTTTGTAAACATTTATCATTATTTACTTAGGGTATGCATTTCACATTCTGATTCCAGTGCCTGATTAACTATAATTAAATGAAACATGATGTGTTCTTCGGATGTGTGTGCTTGCATCGTGATTGTATTATATTGTAATTCTGCAATTCATTATGTAATGAGCAGCATAAAATGGGTAAAGTGACAATATTATTGTTTATACTATATTATTATTATTTATTTTGGAACAATATATTGTATAACAAAAAATAGATATCACAGGCCTAATTACTATTGCTTTTAACAAATTCTTAAGGCTAAACAAAATCTGTTAATTAATTAACAGTTTCTGTATCTTATAATTTACATGTCTGTACATTTATTGTAATGAATTACTTTATGGGATGTTGATCTTTGCTCTGTTGACTTTTGATGTAGAAAATTCAGTATATATATATATATATATATATATATATATATATATATATATATATATATATATATATATATATATATATATATATATATATATATATATATATATAAATATTAATAAAACTA